GGCGCCCAACTAACGCCAGGTCCCCCACACGTCGGTAGATTAATAAGCGTACTACATGTGGCTTTCACAAAAAGGCGTCGCCGGTATGCGGAATTGTGTTGGGGGAAAGTTACAAGAACAACACTCACCAAGGCCACATGGCTTCTGTAACAGTAACAACTGTGGTAAAACACGTGAAACTGTGGAACTAGACCTGTATCCTGTGTCCTCCAGGGGCGGTTCACGCGGCTTAGCCTTGTTACATGAGGAAATTCCGGCTGTAACGTTGTGCAGTTGTTGGGAGTCTTTTCTCAACGATCACTCAAGCTCGGACTTTACACTTCAACCCAGACAATACAGGGACAATACTGGAAGCACCAAATCTACTCTGGTCCGCATTTGGAGCACTGAAAATCCGAGAAGCACGGTTATGAATGCAAGTTATCAATATCAAATTAATGGTTCTAAAATAAGGTAACTTGATACTGTGCATGTGGAGCAAAAACAACAATCTTAAAAGTCCAATTCATGAATAAGCGCTTTAAAACTCCTAAACCATGTATACAGAGTCAGACTGAATATGACATATAAAATCTTTTATAGCCGAGGTATGACTTTGTAGGGTTTTGTATACGTACATTTGTTACTAGTTTAAAGCGGACATTCGCGAATTGGACTATTAGGTTGTTGTTTTTGCTCCGTCGGTTTTAATCTTTAACGCACGAGTTTTATGATTTATCCCCTGTAGTATCAGTGACCTGGAGACTTCATTTAAGTCCGTGCGGGACTACCAAGGTCAAGGTTTAAACGCACAGGTCCTTTAAGATCCTTGAAAGGTCACGGTGTGAAATGAATCCTGTTCCACCGAACCTTCAGAAGGCTCACGCGGGTACGAGGTGTTTAACTCAACCTGTATCCTCGGATATTTTACAAGTTTTTACAAGTTTGACTCATAACACTTTACGAACAATTCACGATTATGTTTTACGGTAAATTTTAAGCAAATACTACGCATTAGTACGTAGTACTCTATCCAAAATGTACCGATTGTACGCTGTACGTAGAGTTAGAACGTCAAACTACGCAGAGCTCTACGCTATACGGAAAAGGCCTGGCAGGCCCCATGACATTCTGGTGGGCGGTTTTGTCTTTGTTCCACATAGTCATACTCTACCAGCCGAGTATGTCTCCTGAAACTATATTTCCGTTCTTGACATCTGGACTTTTGGCACTTATCACTGGAGATATAAACATTTTTCGTCATGGCAAATTCACTGCTTCGGCCGTACCTACTTCGGCGTAAGAATTCAACCAACTAGGCACAGTCACACCAACCTGTATATGCCAGCAATATTTGGCACCGCCTAAAGAAATGGGTATTACCGTATTTAATACCGTACTTAGCATATGACACCACAACCTAACTTCTGATATAGTATAAACACAGGATGTGGAAAGAGGAACTTCTTCGAAACCACAAGGAAACACGTACACACGGCCCACCCGACGCCCACCGACCCCGGTACAGGCAAGAAAATCTTTTATTAATCCCGTGTTGGCGATATTTCTGACACTTTGCCATATTTCACCGGCAGTATAGTCTACTATAGAACTCCTGGGCTGCCGAGTCCAACTATCGTATGTTAACCATATCCTATATTTAAACATTAACATATGTTTCAAGAGTATTTTGATACTCTTGAAAGTCACATGTATTTTGATACTATTGAAAGTCAAATGCTGTCCAGAGGTTTGTTTTATTTAGGGGCCATATTGCACTGTTTATACGCAAACGCCCCCAAATGACAACTATACTGTTGATATGACTACTTTTACTAGGTATTAGCTTTCTTAAGTCTACACTGGAAGTCGTATGAGGGCCAAAGTTCTACGGTATTAGGAAATAGGTCTACAAAGGGTTACTTTACTTTAGCTTGCTCACAGCACTGGGGAAACCTGGTGACTAGGCGGGGATAGAAGGTGAAGCTGTTAGTGTTAGTGTTAGTGTTAGTGTTAGTGTTAGTGTTAGTGTTAGTGTTAGTGTTAGTGTTAGTGTTAGTGTTAGTGTTAGTGTTAGTGTTAGTGTTAGTGTTACACACTCCGAACCTTCTCCCAACAACAGCCGACCAAGTTCGAAAGCAGTCTGACCAGATTCAGGACATACTTACCTTTTCTATACGAATCTAATCGAGTTTGAGAATTCGTGAATATATGACAGGAGCTTGACAGAGACCGAGGAAACTCACCTACAGGCCCGTAAGAGACCGGTGACCACGTTAAACTAGAGGTGAGCTCCACCACCCTCTCCGACACGTTTGTTTGTGTAAGAATGTTGAGTTTGGCGAGGAAAGCTTGTAAGGTTAGTGAGAGGGGAGGGGACTTCCGAAGTCCTTGTATAAACCGTAGTAAACACGGCACACGGTACAACCGTACAACTCGTCTGCGTGTTACCGGTTTCTATGCTTAAACTACCGTGCGTTAATATGGCCGCTTCCTGGTCTTTATCGAACCGAGAAAAACTCAGCTGGTGTAAAAAAAAGTGCGCGTTAATTTGTGTCCTATGATCTACACTAGTTAACTCCTCTGACAGAGCAGCACAGCTACTAATAAGACACGTCATACCAGCAAGAACACATACAGGTAAACCAACCAAACACAAACGCTACGAAAAATATGTTTATATATACATAATTAACGTTATATCTATCAGCAACAGTTTACCAGTTTACCATACAAAATCTGCACCTAAACGCAAACTCCAATTTGAGCTTCTTCTATGTGTAAATTTGTAAGTAGTTGTAATTTGACTTATATCTGTACTATATTTTTAAGTCCAGGAATAGCTTTTGTAAATGAATTGCATGAAAGCTTAAGCTAACGGAGTAATAAGGAAAGTGATGATCCAGTTTTAGCTCAATGAAGAGCTAATCTCCCACTGGTCGTGACGACAGAGAAGACACATGCTATGTAGTTATGTACAGTATTAACAGGTTCATTGTACCAGGGAAATTCCCCTAGCTCTTTTTTAAAAAGTACAATGAACAGTGGACCACAGCTACGCACGCTACCTTAAATAAAGTATCCAAGTATCCCTTTTGGAACAGAGGCCGTTTAGAACGGTCCAGGCACCCGCAGTCTGAAGTCCCGGTGTTGCCTCCACTCCCGGCCGCCGCCCTGTGTCTTCCCATTAGGCACCAGGATTGATACAGATTGGGCCAAATTGGAGCAGGTTAGCAACAATTTACAGGACAGGGGCGGGCTGGGGTAGCCAGCTACTGTAGTCTACACTGTCCGTCAAAAAAGGCAATAATCGCACTATATAAAGTCGAAGTTTGGGATTTTAAAATGGCTAACGTTACACGGACTTTCATAAAGGGCTGTGGATGGCCTAACTTCTTCTGGCGCTACACTAATTTTGATTACCCAAATTTGGGTTTGTTTACAATCATATTCCCGTAAGTTCCCACCCTTCTGATAGTTTGTCTACTCCGTGTGTACATTATAGTAGTGGTTTTTATCCTGTACTAATCCGAATTCAGCATTCAAATCAAAGAAGAGAGCATAGTATGCTATAGAATCATGGCTATTTGGTGGCTTGGCGCTACTTTCGCCAGACTTCATCGGACAAGCGACTACACTTCAGTAGCCCACTGATTCCATTGAATTGTTGCATTCGGTGCAGAGCGAGGTACCGTTTGCCAATACAACAAACGCTACGTCCTTTATGTCATACGCACAGCCAAATGCCAGCATACATAAACAGACTTCGTTAATATGTTGTTGAGAAATTGCGACATCTGTGATTCGTTTAGTCCGTGGCGCTGCTATATTGAAGGTTTATTACAAACAGGTTGTGTTGGGGAAAATATTACGCTTGGGTTGAAGAAATGTTTCGCCCGTCAACTTAAATGCAAAGTTTATGAATATTTTCTTTGGAATTGCTGAATATGGATACAAGTTCGCACGTTTCTTGAAAATATCATTTACTTTTGACACCGGTAATTTGACAAGACAGAGTGACCGATACATTATTTTTGATACCCTTTAAAGTAACATATACCATACTTAAGCACTTTGTTAAACTGATTGCAATTTAACGAATTAAATGTGTCAAAAAATTAATCTCAAAGGTTGTGCAGCTCAAAGCCTGGCCAGTGATAATCTTTCGTGGGATTGAAATCAACTTTTTGCACCAGTAAACACGAGCTAAAGCCTAAAAGACCTGTAGAACTAGATAACTTGAAGACTGAGACAAGTTACGTCTGCGTTAACCTGTATGTTGGTGTTGATCTTTAGGCATCGGCTTATTTTTGACGCCTACCTATTAGTTTTCATATGGTTTTCTTTTTGAACTGTTATCTTTTGACACCTGCAATAAGTCTAGTGACAAATGGTAACTAGTTAACTGCCTGGCAAATGGAGACTGCCTGGCCAATTTGATACTGTCTTGCAGTATGATTAGATAATGTTCATTAGATGATGTTGTTGTCGTTGTTATGAATAAAGGTTGAACTGTTTTTATTTATTAATATATATATATTTATCGAGTATCAGGCGAAAAGCACAATTGCTTATGTAAAGCCTTCTACTCTAGAGTTGAACTGTTTGTTTGTCAAGTTTGCCGTACCAACATTTTCGACTGTACAACTCCAGTCTTTGCCAACAATGACTTCATAATTACTTTTGCCAAACCAGACAGATGAACTTTCAAGATGCTGTTGTTGTTATGAAGCAAAACTTTGAAAGTTTGCCTTACTCACATTTTTGTCTCAACAACTCTAGTCTTTGTGATATTCTAATGGCTTCATAATTACTACTTCCAATCATGTTATAATCCTGCTATTAAGAAGAATATAACACACCGTCCTTCCGTCCTGAATGATCCTCAATTGAAACCCACTTTTTGCACTAGTAAACACAAGCTAAAGCCTAGAAGAGCCTAAACGTCACGCCTGCGTTAGCCTGTGTGTTGTCTTGATAATTTTGCTGTTGTTATGATGAGAATATAACAGAGAACGCACCGTCCTTCCTGCCGGAGTCGCTTCCCGTGTCCCTCCCGTCCGGGTCCACCGAGCCGTCTCCCAGCTTGTCCACGGCGCAGAAGCCTCCGTCCCCCGCCGGCTCCAGCCCCGCCGCCCCGGCGTCCTCCAGGTCCAGCAGGTGACTCACCGTGAAGCTCTTGCCTCCGTTCGGGGCGGAGTCCGCCCCCTCCCCGCGGCCGCCCAGCCCGTCCTCCGGTACCCGGGACTTCTCCGCTAGCGTCCGCGTGAAGTCGCTCGCGTTCATCGTACAGTTTTCAAGTTCGTACAAAGTTTGTGTAAAAGTTCTGAAGTGGTTGTATACGTACGTACGACGTTAGACGGTCCTTTAGAGTAGCGAGAAGTTTGGACTGGCGTTTGTTCTGATAAACTGAAGTTAGAAGCATGTGAGGTACAAGAGACCTACCTTAATTAAGACCACACCATTTCCTAATAGGGGTGTTTTTATTTACAAAATCCACTAATCAAAAACTTTTGTTCCGTACTCTACTAGTATTTTGGAAACAATGTTTCAAAGAGCGAAAAGAATTTTGTGACTGGATGGTCACAACACCTTTGAAGGTATAATGTGTTTTAACTGCAATTTGTGTGAAAATAAAGCCCACAGTCTTCAGAAAGTTCAGACAATGGCCTGATCCAGATAGAGTCGGTGGGCGTGTGGCTATCCGGTGAAATCAGAGCCGAGCTGAACCCGATTTCCGACAACTCGCAAATTTCACAGACCTCTCCCCGTTACCCACAACTCCCCGCGGGCACCGCCAGGAACGCAGCGGAATGTAATTAAATAATCTCGGTGACACCGCTCCCAAGTGTGTCATTCCGTAGATGAGATAGTGTGGATTAAAGAACCCATGGAGCTCCTTTAAGGTGCACCTTGATCTTGTAATTGGTTAAACGATTTTACAATACTGTACATCCTTCCACAAAGGTGGCTTAGTCTTGTCGCTTTCTTCGTGGAAAAAAGATCTTACATGACTTTCAAAAAATATATGATGACATCAATTTATGAAACATAAACAATGTAACGTCACCGACATAAGATTATCGCATTTTGTGACTTAGTCCGGGCGTTCTTGAAACGCTGAAGACGTTTTGAGACGAGTTGCTATGTACGTATTGTCTCCTACTATAAATTACTTACTGTACTTTGAAATCATAAATTCCGTTCCCGGTTCTTTTTCATCTTCTCGTGTCACCAATCGTGCTGTTAAACAGAGCCTTGCAGACTTGTCCTAGTCTCTACCAGATCCAATCGCCAAATAAGAAATAGAACAATATGTCATCTGGGAGTTAGCCTTTCCATAGGAGTACCCGTGGATTGTAAAGTGTACTCCTCAGGAAATATTATTCAGTCTATTTGCCCAGTTTCTAATATCTTTTTAGCAAATCATTGAATCCATTCATGGAGTCTGTTGGGGACTAGACTTGTTCTAGTCTTTACCAGACTGCAATAGATTGCTGGAAAAGAGTAGGAACTGGGCAAATTGACTGAATAATATGGCAGAATATACACTGCATGTACTCCTCAGTCTGTAGCCTGACTCCTCTGGCATGTCATATGTATATTCTATATGGTGAGAGTTTTTAATATAAGTTTCCATCAGGATACTGAGACTAGCCTTGCCCGTGTATCGGGTTGTGTCCAGCGGGACCAGGCTGCCGACTTGGGCGGAGGTTTTCCAGTTTAATTAGGTCAGGCTCGGGTAGTGATGGATTGAGAAGGTGTTTCTGTCAGAACTCGGGAAGATCAAATGTACGGACTGGGAGTAAAGGGAAGGGGACTGGGAACACCGAGAAATGGGGGGGGGGGGGTCCAAGGACATGAGGGAAGGGACAATAGTGTTTGTGGTGTTCTCTACATGTATATCTATTTAATTTTTTTTACGGCTCTCAGTGGCCAATATGAGAGCACTTGGCACCCTGACAGACAGATTAGCCTAAGAGGCTCGGTGGGCGTCACTCCACCGTATAGGTGGGGAAGTCGTGTAAAGTGCCTTTCCCAAGGGCACAACGTCGGGCCACGGTGAGTATCGAACCCGGGACCTATCGGTTCCGAGTCCAACGCTCTAACCGTTGCGCCACCGACGCCACATGTGTAGTATATATATTATCACTATTGTGTACCATGGCGTGTGTATATATAACTGCTTTCTCCAAACCCAATTTTATTTCTTTTCTTTAAACTTTCGCTAATAGTCGTGCGCTGTTTCTTTCTCCGAGTTCTTTTTTTAAACGCACTCTATCTAGTGTGATTGCATGGTTTCTTTCTTTGCTTGTCTTGATATCTCCTATCGATATCGGCCCGTTCATCAATACCAAAACAAACAATATTATAAACGAAATGAAAAATTACTTGCTGGTTGTGAAGGCCCAAGGAATATGTATCGTCTGTAGTGTCGAAGTTTTTGCCCAGTTGTGTAGTTTGAATTAGAGACTATCCAAACTGTTCAAACCGTGATGTTTGAACCCCTCATGGCATGCCGACCTAATTGTCTCGCTGTTGTAACTAATTCCTGCTAAGTTTTCCCCAATATCAGTTTCCTCCCATTCCTGACGCCCACGTAAACCCCGCTCACACCCCCAGCCCACGGGAGGCGATAGAACACACGATAAACACGGCAAGGCTATGAAAATAGTCCCGGTGTTTACAGAAAGCACGGCGCTAATGAAGTTACGTCTGGACCTGTCAGTACGGTAACGTGGGTTGAGACATTAATGAGCTGTGGCGGAAAGACCGAGTGTTTCTAAACAAAACTGATCTCTTTAGAACCGCCGGCGCCTGGGCTGGACAAGGTCGGAGCTTCATACAGGGATTCGCGAAACTAGACATACACAGGCATTGGGTTGGCCTCTCTCGGTCTGTATCTGTGTATGCATAGCCGGTATAACCGCCTTTCGGCGTAACACACCAGCTTCTGTATCTGTATAGCCGGTATAACCGCCTTTCGGCGTAACACACCAGCTTCTGTATCTGTATAGCCGGTATAACCGCCTTTCGGCGTAACTCACCAGCTTCTGTATCTGTATAGCCGGTATAACCGCCTTTCGGCGTAACACACCAGCTTCTGTATCTGTATAGCCGGTATAACCGCCTTTCGGCGTAACACACCAGCTTCTGTATCTGTATAGCTGGTATAACCGCCTTTCGGCGAAACACACCAGCTTCTGTATCTGTATAGCCGGTATAACCGCCTTTCGGCGTAACACACCAGCTTCGCAGGCACGCGACGCGGCGGCGGCTGGCTATATTACACCGATGGACTTGTTACACCTAACCCTTGAACTTCTAACTCTAGACATTGTTTAAAGCTATCTAATGATAGTACGCTGAGGTCTGTACTTAACTCCTCCCTGTGTTTTGATTCCATTTATAATAGGTTCCAGAATCTAGAATACCAGTTTCCAAAGAACAGGGTTACCACGTTGACAAAAAAAAACACAATTAAACGTATATTGCTGTACGTACAGGAAAGGTTTACAATGTCACATTTATAAGTAAAGCGAATTTCTGTATTTCATTTGCATTTCATTCATGATGGGTTATCGGTATGAAAAAAATGAAAAGACTTTTAAGTTTACTAAAAAAGATTCCTGCATTTTTATTTTACTGCATTTTGCAGAGAAAACAGGGCTCGATGTCTGGGGCTTCCTATGCTGTAGTTCTCGTTATTTTAGCCAGAGAGCGCTTCTCCACAATAAACATTGCAATTCTCTCCAAACTGTCCACGCTTGTCCTTCAGGCCAGACAAATCAGGAGAACACACAGGCCGAGGATCTGGTCAGATTGAAGCCTGCTCGATTGGTTTCCGTCAGCTAATATTACTTCAAAATTGGTGTTTTGATGTGTCGCAGTGGTATAACCATGGCATTAGAATCAATTTACATGTTAAGGATAATTTTGATACTACAAATATGATGCAGCATGCGTCTGGATGAAGTGAATTGCCACAAATGTCATAAACGTATATAGATATGTAAGTATACCAAGCTTAACAAGATGTATTAAGATATGATTTTGTGATATTTGGGAATGAATTTTTCTAAGAAAAACGAATAAATTCTAGACAACGACATGGGGCCCGAAATAAATACCAAGCAGTTCACACGGAAATGAAAGCAAAAAAATCTGTTGTATTGACTATTCCCCTTTCTATTTCCCCAGGCTTCGTGCTATTTAGGTCAGAATAACCATAACATTCCTGGACGCAGATATAAATGGCATATTTTTCTTTAGTATGTCGGTATTCGACAAATGTGATGTCATTTCGTATTGAACATTTTTACTGACGGCAGTTCAAAAAGCCAATGACCTTCGAAAGGGGATGAGGGTGCCTAAGAGGTTTAAGGGCTGGTTTGAGCTTTTTAGCTCATTATGTGCCGTTTCATAAAAATATGTCAGTTCTCAAGTACCCGTATTATTTCATTTTTTTTTTTGCCGTTTCTGCTGTTGTTTTTTCTTTGGGTACAATATCTCCCGTCTCAGGAAATAGAAGATAATATGTAACTCAAGTTGTTATACTCAACTTACATTTGAAAAATGAACACATTTGACTGCGCTTATTTCCGTGTACTTGCCTTGTCCTCGAAAACTGAAAGGTTGGCTCGCTTCTAGAAGAACGTAATATTTCATGCCAGAAGTAGTTCTCATAGTCCCAGAAATTGACCCAGAAAATTCGATTTCCCCAGTTTGCCGGACACCGCACTGAGATTACACCTCAGGCATCACAGACTAATCTAGAAAAAAATGAGGTCAGAGAGAGAGAAACAGACGGAGAGAAAGAGAAAGAGAGAGAGAGAGAGACGAAAACAGTGTATATGAGCAGTAAGGCAGAGAAAAACTACTGCAAAACACGTTTTTTACAAAACAATTATAGCCTACACATCTTGCAGAAAATGATCGTCGGTACTTCAAAACAAACCACGTGAGAATCAAGTATTTCAAAGGCTCTGTCCGGAAATGCTAGTGACGGCAGCTCGCCACGTACAATGTAACCAATGCTTGAATCACCTCGTGCACACTCTGGGCTGTGGAGGCCAAGTTCGTGCATATTCATTTTTCTGTGAACCACAGCAGGGTGATGTGTATAGGCTACCATATAGGTCAACTTCGGCCTCTATCTGCATCTCTCTCTTTCTCTCTCTCTCTCTCTCTCTCTCTCTTTGTGTGTGTGTGTGCGTGTGTGTGTGTGTGTGTGTGTGTGTGTGTGCGCGTGTGTGGAGTGAGTGTGCGTGTCTGTTTGTATGTATGAGTAACGCTATGTATTTAAAACCATAAAAGTAGTTTTCACTTGAAATTTTAAAAGGTTAATAACATCCAAGACAATACAAGGGAAACACAACTTAACAGTATGAATTGAACAACAAAAATTATGTTCTTCTTGTAAAACGGTACATACGCTAAAAACACATGCTATTTTGAGAAAGAAATCATTGACGTCATTTCACAGAAAAATGCAAAAAAACTACGCAGAATGCCGGAAAAAAGATGTATGTTATTAGCCTCGAGGTAAATGAAAAAAAAGGTATTCCACTGTAATCTCCTGTATTCCAGATTTGCAGTCCAGTCTTTAAAAGGGATCGTTTCATACAAATATGGTGGTCAGAAGTGTTGAACATCCGCATTGGAAGAAAAGAAACTGATTTGTTCGTAGCGTAGACATTTGCACATGATATATTTTCTTTTGTCACATTTTTTATCATTAACCTTTCTTAATTTTTTTTCTAACACTTTCGCGTACTTTTTCGTCTACAATCTTCCCTACGGTACGATCATAACAGCATCAGCCTTCGTTTAAACGCAAGATTTGCGTTTTGCGTGGATCCCTGACCCCCCGGCTGTTTCAGTAGAATATTGGTAAAAGTTTCATCTTTATTCAAAAGTCTTTAATTTGTCTGCCCTGGTGGAGCCTTGCGCGTGGGTTCGCGGAGAGACTGCGGGGTTAGAAATTCAGCCGACGGCGGCAGAAGACAGTCGCGGTTCCACGCGACTCCGACGGTGGGAAAAAATGAGACCGACTTTTCTGTTTCTGATTCTGTGCTGGCACGCCTGGATGATGTCATACCACCGCGTACAGGCCATGTGAGTCTAGGATTCTTTCTTAATTAGAATTTTCTTAAGTCTCGTTTACATACAGTACAATACGATCCATCAATGGAGAGTTTTCCGCGATGATTGTGTCGTACGTAGATTTGAGAGAAAAAAGGAGCAACAGTTTTGAAATTTATTTCCATATCAATTAATAATTCGTGGTTGTAATAAATCTGTTGGTTTTGATATCTCACTTGTGTCACTGACAAAGGGTAGTTGATGCTACCTGAAATGTCTGACCGTTTTAAAATCTTATCTAGTTGCTTGATTTTTTTTTGCCGTATTGATATTACCTGGATGTCTAACCTTCATCGGTGTAGTTTTAAAATCTAACCACTGTACCCGTTTCTTCTCAAACCTACGAAGTACAGCGATATATCGTCGCGATAAAGAACCCTTCGTATATAATCGTACTATGTCACCATGTATGCGACCGGAGCTTTAACTTGGAATGTGTTTCATTGAAAACGGTTGCGACACTCACACTAGATCGCTTCCAAAAAAGCAAAGCTTAGTTGCCAAACACCTCCCCATGCCGGCGAAACTTCTGTGTTACGCGGATGGGTGATTTTGTTGAACAATACGGATTCTTGAGCTTTTCATAGCAAGCGATAGCTTTACACGTAAACCATTTCCCGCCTCTGCATCTACACAGTCGCCAATTGCAATTCGCTCTTTCCTGGAACTGATCTAACGATGAATTTGTTATCGCCAAATATGGCGGGGTCAAAATTGCTATATAGCACGCGTTGCTGTATCCAGAACCGTGGTTTCTAATGCCAGATCCATGCTCAGACATGGTTCTGGATAGAGCACGCGTATCCAGAACCGTGTCTGGGACATATCTACTTGCTTGGATACGCGGAGACTATCCAGAACCGTGCCTGGCTCTAACCCTAACTCTTTCAGGCACGGTTCTGGATACGATACGCGTCAAGCAATTCTTCAGATAAAATGGCACGTTATTTTGTTACGGCCGTGCGACCTTAATAAATGCAAACCCATATTTCTGGTTAAAACAACTACAGTGCCATAGCACGCTTGTTAACATGAATCGTTTGCGCCATGTGCTTACAAGGTGACTACACTGTTACAAAGGGATAGAAAACGTGCTTCAGAGATCAAAACATTTGATTGATGACTTATAGATCAAAACATTGCATTGTTACATATCACAGGCGTGGTTGCGTTTGAATGTTTTTCATGTGGTACAAACTTGAAACGTGCGGTAAAATGTGTAAAGTTTTTGCTGGCTTTTATGACTAAATTCTGTTTGAAAGGCTTCACACAGTTGCATTATATATTTATGTAATGTTAATATATAGCATTAGATGTCATACGATTGATGTGAAATAAAGTTTATGCATTTTATTAATAAATATTACGACCTTCGGCAGAGTAAACTGTTTGCCTTTTAAGAATTCTCCGCACTGACAACATTGATGGAACTGGGACAATGTTTTCTTATTCAGCAAATACGGCAACATTTTCACCATGCTATTTTGTGTGTGTGTTGCTTCTTCGAAAAATTGGACAATGTTTTTACTACTATTAGTGTCACAGGTATCATATGATCGTAATGCCTCGTGCGAGGAATAGGACCACGTCGTCATTTGTACTTGTTTAGGCAATCGATCGGGACTTAAATTAAATAAAAAAATTAGCCTGTTTGTTTATATCTCCCGGGAGATATCCCGCATAGGAAGGAGATAAGAAAGATTCAATCACCTGCCACAGATTCTACCCTCAAGCTACAGCATGTTTACATGTACACATGTGTATGTTGCCTTGACATTGTCTGACATGACATGGCTAGAGGGGCTTCATCGATCAGCATCTCATCATAAGGGAACAAAAACATCCATCTGCCGTTCCTTCCTTCCATCCATTCATCCATCCATCCATCAAAGCACCCATCCATCCATCCATCCATCCATCCATCCACTCACTCACTCACTCACTCACTCACATACTCACTTATATACTCATCCATCCATCCATCCACTCACTCACTCACCCTCACCCACCACTCACTCACTCACTCACTCACTCACTCACTCACTCACTCACTCACTCACTCACTCACTCACTCACTCACTCACTCACTCATTCACTCACTCACTCACATACTCACTTATATACTCATCCATCCATCCATCCATCCATCTAGCCAAGCTAGGGGCTTCAGTACCTAACGGCGGTTCTATCTTTCCCCAGCCGTGTGCTACAGACGCCCCGGCTGGGGGGCTCGCTGTGGTTTAGGTTACTAAGAGTTAACATTTGGGTTCCTAAGGGTTAACATTTGGGTTCCTAAGGGTTAACATTTGGGTTCCTAAGGGTTAACATTTGGGTTAACTAAGGGGTAAAATTTGGGTTAACTAAGGGTTACCTAGATCTAATGGTTTCTCCTGCACCTCTCCAGCCAAGTGCTGCAGATCCCCCGGCGGAGCGGCACGCTGTGGTTTGACGCGCGGGGAGGGAAGGAGATCCACTTCCTGTCGTCTCTCGACCCGTCCAGCCGCTTCCGGCTGCTGCCCAACCTCGGCCGCGTGATCCAGGTGGTGAGTACCGAGGATAACACATTATATGTATGGAATACTACAGTACTATTCTGTCGCCCGAGGTACCAGCCCGACCGCGGGTCGGATCGCCCGACGGCCGAAGGGAGATCCCTAAACAAAACACCGTAACAATACCGATGCCAACGTCCGAATCCGGTACTTTAACCTGGTGTCACTTATCCTTTTGGGCTGTCTTTAAGAAGAAAACAGGGGTAAAGTGGTCCTCTTGGGCAGGTGGTCTTCTTAGGCAGATCAATTCATGCCTGCGCTTGAGTATAAATTGCTGGTGTGCAAGTATCAAGTATATTTTGTGTATCAGTGTTTGAAATGAGCAATGTGCCTGATGCAAAAACGTTAATGTTTACAACTCACACTCATTCCTAGCCTTGGCTCCAAGTACTGTGCCCACACGCACACAAGCTTATTCGGACCCTCAGGCCATGTAGGCCCGCAATCAACTATGTGTGCTTACGGTGAAAAGCCGTCCTCCATCCGGGTGGGTCGAGTTGATCAGGCGGCTTACCGTGGGCGCCGGAGGTCTGCCCTTGGTGCTAGCGTGCCTACGTGGACGTTTACACGGCACCTTGGGCCATGTAGTTCCGTAATCAACTCTGCCTGCTCATGGTGAAAACTGGCGATAGCCCGTCTCTATAGCTAACTCGCGCCCATCCCCACTAAGACCTACAATGTATGGGGTCTGTGTACCTTGTTGTACAGTGGCCTAGAGGGTTTTGGTAGTTCTAAACGTTACATTCTCATACGGTATCGTGCAATGTGCTTTGGAATGACTTACCATGTCACGCTAAGACACTGTGTGATCTACCCAGCTATCATCCAAACAGTGTCACCTAGACCGTCGACCTCAACTGTTTAAATCGTTAATGTTGATTAATTTTGTGTGTTTATTGTTGATTTTGTGATTCAAGTATGTCTTTTTAAATGCATTTTCTGTACTTTTTCTGTGCCATGTAATTATGTCATTTCAAATGTATGCGTTTGAGCCTTAATTGGGAGATTAGCCCAGCAGGGCTAAAAGGTTTCGTAAGAAATGAAATGAAAATGGGACACAGCGTTTAGTGGTGAGGGGCGTGAGTCGGACACTAGCACTGGCTACGTATACCTCTCTCCTGCACGCGCGTTAACCCTCCACCCGCTGCCTCATGGCTCACGTTTCTAAGCCAGACCTACCCGGGTTCTGTTCCGAGTGGGCGGAGTTAATCAGACGGCTTAAATGGCCTGAGGTGTCTGAGAGAACTGACTCGTGGGTCATCGAACTCAGACGTCATCCATTGTGAGACCTTTTTAGGCCCTGCCATCGTCTTTCCTTGCTTTGTTTTGTTGTGTTTTCGCTCAGATTATTGCAGATTAAAACCCAACGTACAAGGAGATTTTGAGAAAATCGGATGTTGATCAATGGCAAATACAATTACAGTGTAAAAATTCGTTCAGTGTGATATAACCAGCCACCGCCGCATGCCCACGGTGCTGATTTGTTACATAAAAGAATGTTATACCGGCTCCACAGAACAACAGGTTTACAGTGTTCCATGGCTTACACAGGGATACAGGTTATCCTCTAACTCCCATAGAGACCCTTTACTGAGACGTGAAAATCTCCGTGCGGAGAACCCCAAACTCGCATGTCATTTCCTCCCATCTCTGTATCCAAACATTACCATAGTGATGATACGTGATAATATTCCAACTCTGAAACTTGCGTTTTCTCCTCTTATTAGTTCCGCTAAGAAAGGACGTGTATAAGTATCTGTCAGTCTGTGTGTGTGTGTGTGTGTGTGTGTGTGTGTGTGTGTGTGTGTGTGTGTGTGTGTGTGTGTGTGTGTGTGTGTGTGTGTGTGTGTGTGTGTGTGTGTGTGTGTGTGTGTGTGTGTGTGCGTGTGTGTGTGTGTGTGTATGCCAAGGTTGGTGTATGTAGAATCCTAGCAGGAAGTGTAGGCGTGAACATTGTCTGTGCACGTGAAGAAATCATTTCCGGTCCACGTACAAATTATTTTCAATTGCCTCACGTTTTTTTTTCTCACATTAATAAAATCAAATTGAAACTCAATATTCTTTTCATTTGTTTGCGTCTTTGGTATTCTATGAAGTATTCAAATAGTTGTTATGATGTTTGTATTTGAAATGTATGTAAAAGGACTCCATAAAGAGTAGCGGTGTATTGTCACTGATTGGAGGTTCCTGGAATAAACAAACAACAAACAAACAAACAAACAAAATCAGTCTAGGTCTCAGTCAGACAAAGTATCTAGCAAACCTCAGATGAGAATCGGAGAATTTTAATGAGTTTGTGTCTTTATATTGGAGTAAATAAAGCAACTGAGAGTGGAAAGCAAAGTTGGCATAACAAACGTGATTTCAGCACCAAGGACAGTCTATAGCGACCTGTGCTGATTTAAGTTCCGAATGAAGCACGGTTCCAGATACAACAATTACAAACACACCAGACTTGTCTGTTAATAACTGTTGTTTTACAACCGAGTTTCCCGTAACCAAGCTTATAACATGTTATTCTATGCCAATTTCAGGTGAACGTTCTGAAGAATGTTCAACCCGAACTGCAGGCCGCCATGCAAAATGTCAGGCAAAAGGTAGAAAAATACTGTTAATTCTATTTTCATTCTACACTTATTTTTCATATTCCCTCTATGTATCTATCAATCGGGGGAGTTTATGACTCGATTTTTGTATATTTTTTTTAATATTGGTGTGTTTTCATGTATTTTTCTGAAATGTTTAATCCCTTCTCCCAGATCGACGACGTGGATTCAATACTTGTTGACAAGGTGAGTTCATCCGTAAATAATTTCATTAGGTTGGTAAACCACTGAATAGCAAAGTTCTTTCTATCACAACCATTTATTTTTCAAGCCAACGTTTCGATGACCTTCTGTCATCTTCATCAGGGCAATACTGACTGGTTTACTGTGCACTGACACTAGATGTTGCTTGGTGCATAGTGTGCACTAAAGGTGTTACATAGTTTTACATAAATACTTTAGTGCACTATGCACCAAGCAACATCTAGTGTCAGTGCACAGTAAACCAGTCAGTATTGCCCCGATGAAGATGACATTAGGTCATCGAAACGTTGGCTGGTTGTGATAGAAAGAACTTTGCTATTAATGTGAGTTAATTTTTTTTGTTTTCCTTCTCCTTGTAATTTCTGCTCTTTCATAATCATATCCTATAACCATTTTGCCCACGCCCTCAATTGGCGGCTACACAACTAGCTTCATTATGATGCATGCTGATTTGATTAAGATATATTATGTAGTGGGTCCGGTTTCCGCAATGTTTCTTTCGTCCCACACTTTGTAATACAGTTCTGTATGTAATACATCACACACTTAACGGCATGAAAGTGTGGAGAAAATTGTTTGCTAAATTGTCTGGTTACGTCGTTGTTACGTGGAAACCGGTGGGCAGAAGAATTTGTTCACTGTTTATTCATTCATTTCGCCAGGAAAACAAACCACCTATTGGCGTTTTTCAATGTGCCCTGAGTGAAACCATAGACACAAGCAATTAATATAAAATGGAATCAAAGATACAAGGAGTAACATATCCAACGCAACGAGTCAGAGCAACCGTTTGGGTATAAAGGAGGAAAAATCAAAATTAAGCTGAACTGTTGGCAATTATATAGAATTGTTTAAAAGGACATTTAGCAGCATTCTGTATTCAATGTTGCCTCTGACCTATACAGAAATTCAAAATCTAAATGCACGGACGTGTTTCTTAGTTTTGTCTCAGCTGTAAGATACTGTGTTCATGATAAGCCTTGAATTACAAAGCCTTGAAAAGCCATTCGTCTCAAGAATAAATGTTCTGTAAGTTCTTCATAACAAGGACAATTTCGATGGTCGATGGAATTAACAATTGATTAACCATGGGCGGAAGTATCCATCTGCTTTAATTGTGTATACTGATATATTTGACACCACCAAACCCCCCCCCCCCCACAGTGCGAGTCCCAGCCGTGTAAGAACTTCGGACATTGCGTCAACGACCCGGAAATGACGTACCACTGCAGCTGCCCCAGGGGGAGAAAGGTATGCCGTTTCTTCTTATTACTTCCGGGACACGTGGCTGAGCTATAGGTTCATTTATACTCTCCAAGCAAAGGTTTTGCTAGGCTTTCACGTTTTTATGAAGGTAAAAACACCTCCAAATTGTCGATGTCTGCTGTACATCTTGAATACTTAATCGAAAATTTGGAGGTACGTGTTTTTTGGGGGTCGAGGGGGGCTTTCCTTTTAGTACTAGTATCTCTATTTTCGCGACAGCCAAACGGATACGTTGCCTTTACATAAAATTATAATAATGATATACTGTAAAAATATATATCTAGGGAGACCATTGTGAGGAAGATGTGAACGAATGCGCGGCATCTGCGCCACCCTGCGGCGGAAACTCGTACTGCGTCAACACGGAAGGCAGTTACCTGTGCACGTGCATGACGGGATGGACGGTAGGTACATGTTTGTGTAATAGGGCGCTCTGCCACTTTGCTATATGATAGTACTAATCAGTTTCTTGTACATTTGCCATTGTACCTAGCTCAGTTTTTGCCTGTTCTCGTCTGAGAAGATTGGGTGGCTTTTAAGTGGCACTTAGGCAGTCCTTTAGTAGGCTAATGGCACAGGTAGCTCTAATCCCTCGGACAAGAGTTTGCAATATTGAAGCAATCATTATTATCATCATTGCTACTGCCTGATTAATCTATGTACATCCAAACATTTATTCAACCATTATTCTTTCATCCATCCATCCATCCATCCATCTATCTATCCATCCACTCATTCTCTTCTCTTTCTCCATTCATTCATTCATTCATTCATTCATTTATTTATTTATCCATTCATTAATTCATTTTCCCGATCGGACAATGCGAGACTGGTGTCAACGAGTGTAAAGCTACCCGCAACGTCATGTACAAGATATGGCAGATTTATTCGTTTATACACTCACTCACTCACTTGCTCGCTCGCATACTCACTCACTCGCTCGCTCGCTCGCTCACTCACTCACTCACTCACTCATTCATTCATTCAATCACTGATTGAAACACTCAATTAATTATCCATACCGTTTCTTCTCTCTTTTCGTGTATGCAGCTGCTTTCCCCCGTCTGTCTTCACACATTCCATTTCACATTAATTCATCCTTTCCTTCCTTCCCAGGGCCCTGGCGAGTCGTGTCTGGTGGACATTGACGAGTGCGAGACGGGCCAGGCCGCCTGTAACTCCACCCACAGCCGCTGCCACAACCTGCGCGGGACGTACGAGTGCGTCTGTCCCCTGGGCCAACAGGGACCCAGCTGCGAACCGAGTAAGTTTTGTCCAACACAGGGAAAATCAAACCTCTCCTAGACCCTGGCGTTTCTGGCAAATCCAGTAGTATCAAAAGTGAATGATACTTGATGAAGCGTCAATTCAAAATTTGGATGTGAATTTTCCGTGTGTTAAATAAGATACAAAAAACTTAAAGACTGAACAGCATACATGTAGATGTGATATGTTCCTGTCAAAGATATTGCATAGAGTTTAAGTTTTAGATACCATCAAAACGTAGAGTGTTTCAAACCAAATTTGCATAATGTTAGTCAAGGCCTAATTTGCATGATATTCGTCATAACCTTATGTACATAACAAATGAACAACATCCAAGACATGAGAAACATTGCATATTTAAAGGAGGTATGAGTTTGTCAAATTCTTGTCTATGTTCAGTTCCGACCACGACGGCAGAGACCACTCTCCAGCCCACCACCACCATGCCGCCTCCGACCACAAACGCGCTGACTTCTGTGGGAAACTCCGGGACAACCATCGGGAATTCCGGAGGATCGACCGCCGGAAATTCCGGAAATTCGGGCGGTTTCATTGCAGAGGCCAAGGGAGGCCAGGGAGGTCTGTCAAATTGAAAACTTTCAAACTCTTGATACGTCAATGAAGGTTAGGCATCCTGGTAATGAGAGGCAGAAGGAAATCTTTACTCAACCAGCTGGTTAGATTGTCAAACGTTATTTTGCATCCGCATTTTTGGCTCCACAAAATGTGGGTTAATACACATAGGGAATCCATACCGGTGCCGTATATCGCCTAAAGAAACCATTTTAGCAGACTTACCTGACATTTATTATTGGTAAGAACTACTTGCATGCAGTGTATCAGACGAAGATTTATCCAAAGGCCCAACTTTTTTGAAACTCGAACTATGTTCGATCATGTTCGATCTGGGTAATTCAAGCGAAACGCGTGTTCCATTTGGGGTCACCAATGTATTAAACGGGAAAATGGGTCCAAAGTTCCCATCTTTTTCAGAACCTGAACTCAGTTCGATCACGTTCGATCTGGGTAATTCGAACCGAACGCGTGTTCCATTTGGGGTCACTAAATACCATTTCCTCCATGTAGCGGCGACGCAGAACCCCCTGTGTGGACAGACCGAGTTCCTGGCCGGATCCGGATATGTGACGTCACCTAACTACCCGAACAACTACCCCAACAACATCGAGTGTACCTACCGCATCGCCGCCTCTCCTGGAATGTAAGGAAGTTTCTTTGAAATCAATCCCAGTAAATAGATTTTTCCACAACCAATTTTCAAACAAGAGCCGACTTTTCGATGGCCATCTGTCATCTTCAGCGAACCAGCCATAATTGCCCTGATGGCGATGACAGACGGCCATCAAAGCGTCGCTTATATATTATTAAACAAGTGGTTGTAAATAAAGAATTTTGCCATCCATTTCTTGATGATATTTCTAGGTTGGTGTTTATCCGGTTCATTGACGAGTTCGGGCTGGAGGGTAATCAGGACGGGACGTGCAAGTACGACTACATCCGCGTGGTAGTGAACGGGACCGAGACCCTCGGGACCTACTGCGGGACCGAGGGCCCGCCCGAGGGCATCACCGGGGCCACCGTGGACGTCACGCTCAAAACCGACTTCGCCATCCGCCGCAAGGGCTTCCGACTGCGGTACGAGGTTGTCACCGAAGGTAAGGCGAGCACACACGTTCGTCTCACCATCAAGTAAACAGATACTGCATTTTGCGCGCTAGATCTACATTTTACCAGTACCATCACTGGCAATGCCATGAATGTTGAAGCTGAAAACCGACTTTGCCATCCACCACAAGCGCTTGATCAGACTGTGGTATGAAGCTATCAGCGAAAGTAAGGCTAAATAAATTACACCCACAACCGTGCTTGTCCAAAACCAAGCTCATCCACGGTTCTGGATATTCCACTCGTATCCAGAACTGTGCCTTACGAGGCAAATCTATGTTCTTTGATACGCACAGACTATCCAGAACCGTGCCTGATCCTAAGGCCATGTTGATTTGATTATATGGATGACATCCGCGCGCGCATCAATAGTATTCAACCATGCTGTAAATCGTACAAAACAGTTGCAAAATGAGCAAATATATACTGTAAGTTGCACAAAAAGTATTGGAAAACAATAACAATGTCGTAGAATGTCAAAACCAAACGAAAAAGACGAAAATGTAAAGAAATGAATTTGTAGAGTAGATTATTCGCCATACCATACCCTGTGTCATTTGTTCAATCTTCATGACCACATAGATTTCATAATTTTTTTTTTTTGCAAAACTTTTTTTTATTCGCACGCTCGCATCAGTTTTGGGGTTCCCAGAGGATGTCATCCATATAATCAAATCAACATGGCCTAACCTAAGAGGCCTCTTTCCTACCCTAACCCGTGTTGAAAGGTAAATTTCCTTCCGCCCTTCTCCAGAATCCTTGTCGACTCTTCCAGACACGCCGTCCAAGTGCGGGGGCAGTGTGACCACCGTGTCGCGCGTCAAGGGGACCCTGCTGTCACCCATGTTCCCGGACAACTACCCCAACGACCTGTCCTGCTCATGGACCTTCCTCGCGCCGCGCGACAAGTACGTCAGCACCGTGATGTAGTCACGTCATTCTGACGTAACGTAGCGTAGCGTCCGTCATGTTGGTGGAATAAAGCCCAAACATCATTGGTCCGATAGGGTCACTGTGGGGCTACGTTGTACTTTTTACAAGAAACATGAAAACAATTACGTATACGCCACCAACTTTTATGATGTTTGCAGTCATGTGGGCCTGACGTACTTCAGTGACCACCATGTTGTTTCTTTAATTACGCATGCTAGGTGCGAATAGGGGAAAGAAAGAGAGGGAAAGGAGAGGTCGGGAGAGAGATATGGAAGTAGAGGGAGCATAATCACGCGTGTATTTCGACCAATCACCATCTTGGATTACTAGTATATCCATCATGATCAGAACTTACCAAGATGGCGGCGATGGATATTTCTATGAGTAACTCATAACGTCACGTAACACGTGCGTTCTATCACCAGGTATGTGGAGGTGCGTTTCGAGTCGTTTTTCGTGGAGACGTCGTCCAAGTGCAGCTACGACCGTGTGGAGATTCTGATCGACGGGGTGGAGACCGTGGAGGGGCCGTACTGCACCTCCAACCCGCCCGCCGAGGCGATGTACGGCAGGAACATCACGGTCAAGTTCATCACGGACGCCACCGTGGCCGAGCAGGGCTTCGAGATGACCTACCAGAGCGTCGACGGAGTCGGTGAGGAGATTTTGCTCTTTTTCAAAACCTGCATAGCTTGTAACATGATTATATACATAATGGAATAGAAAAATGTCTGTTTCTTTCAACCTCATGTTTCCATAAAATACCTAAAGATATAACCAAAGCAGACTCTTCGCTTTATTTTTGACGTGTTTTATCGGGACTTCATACTGGTATTTTTACGTTAGCCAAACGCATACTACCCTAGCCTCTCAATTTGATGCTGTGTTGCCAATTTGATACTGTGTTGCAGCCTCCGAAAACCTGCTTTAAGATTGTCTAAAGAAAAATTATAGTCATTTGTCTTGGAAAAGGACGGAATTTGATGCGCCTAAGAGTCAGCGTGGCCTAAAATGAAATGCAATGTACATGTTTGTTTTCAGCCTCGCTGAAGAAGGTTATAACGCTGGCTGATTCGCTGCCGTGCGGTGAGACCAGCTACAGTAACACCGGCATCCTGGAGTCTCCCAACTACCCGGAGAAGTACACCAACGACCTGCACTGTGCCTGGGTCATCCGGGTCACTAAGGGCAGGTAAGGGTTCTGTATATATCACGTCTCAGTTACCTAGCAACGAGTTCACCTAGCAACGGGCATTCCTAGCAACGGGCTACGCTGTGCCTGGGACATCCGGGTCACAAAGGGCAGGTAAGGGTTCTGTACGTGACGTCTTACTGTCAGCTAGCAACGGGCTGCGCAATGCCAACATGACTGCGTGGTTTTAGAGACCCACCCCAGTCACTAGTCAGTTTCCTGTTGAATTTTCATTTCACGCCATTCGCATTCCATACTTTTCAGGACCGTGAAGCTGTGGTTCGCGACATTTGATGTGGAAGAGCAGACATACTTCCAGTACGACCGCGTGGTTGTGGAAACCATTGCCATCAGTTTTCCATTCAATTTTCATTTCATGAGATTTCATGTCATTCCATCCCTTTAGGACCGTGAAGCTGCGGTTCCTGACATTTGATGTGGAAGAGTACGACTGCGTGGTTGTGGAAACCCACCTTGGACGCTACCATCAGTTTCCTTTTAGATTTTCATGCCATTCCATGAGATTTTATGTCATTCCATCCCTTTAGGACCGTGAAGCTGTGGTTCGCGACATTTGATGTGGAAGAGCAGACTTACTGCCAGTACGACCGCGTGGTTGTGGAGACCCACCATAGACACTACCACCAGCTCTGCAACAGCAAACAGATCAGCCCGCTGGAGTCGCGAACCAACCAGATGAAGGTCACGTTCATCACGGACGCCGCTCTGGCGTTCACAGGGTTCCGCGCCTTCTGGATCGCCCAGCACGAATGTAAGTGTCAGACTGCAGGTCGCTGTCGGTGATACCCCAACCACACCATCCATAGGCCCGTTACCTTACAAAGTGTTTCTCATTGCTCACCTGTTCACCGGTACCCCTTTACCTGTAGGCCACATTCGATCTGTCAGAGTATGGATCAGGGTTCGTCAAGCTGCGCAGTTTTCACACAGCTCCTTGGCATCTTTAAAGGATATGTTTGTTCTTTGGGTGAGGAGGTCCATCTCATCCTGTTCTTCATTGATTTTCCCCCATGTTTCTGCAGACACAGAGAAGCGTGTGTCCCGTGTGGTGAACGTTGAGGAGGGGAAGACCGGGTACCTGGACTGCGGCGACAGTAACACGATGATGGGGGACCCGGTAGTCCTGACGTTCGGCTCGCCCCGCTACAACTGGACCCACGAGGGCAAGCCGCTGGCCGCGGAGGGCACCGTGCTCAGCGTAAGTCCTTATATGGTGTCTACACATGACGTCACACACCGAATATGGTATTTGCACGTGACGTCACACCTCATATGGTATTTGAACCTGACGTCACAAACCTGATATGGTATTTGAACATGGCGTCAAGCAACGAATATGGTATTTGCACGTGACGTCGCACACCTTATATGGTATTTGCAAATGACGTCACACACCGAATATGGTATTTGCACATGACGTCACACACCTAATATGGTATATTTGCACCTAACTTCACAACGTATGATGAGAAAGACACAAAGGGCTCGATTCCAGGTTTCAAGTCCATGCCGCATGTCAGCTCACAACCGAACGCACTAACCGCTAGACCAAAAGGTCCGGACCCATTGGACTGGGCAACTGGTGACGCTTATACCCTCTGTTACAATACATGTACTACAAAATGTGTAACATAAAGGTAAAAATTAAGATTACATCCTGGTTGTGTTACCAGGTGCGGGGTACACATGACTCAGCAGGCCGGTACTTGTGTGTTGCCAGCAGCAACATGACGAACGAAGTGCTCCTGCAGACCTTCAACGTGTACGTGCGAGGTGAGCTGTATATGTATTCATGTGGTGCGCGGGATACACATGATAACACGATATACATCATGCTTCTAGCAGCCCTTCCACTGGTCAGGTCATGGGATCATGATTCTCTAGCTCGAGTGTATGGCCACAAAATGCAAGCGGTTGGAGAGGAGGCCAAATTAGTCCCTGACATCGACAGCGAGAGATTGTATAACACAGGTTATACTGTTACAGCAGGCTATAAAAAAGTTCAAATACTTCCCAAATTTCCCGCGTATAGATACGGTGGTGCCCATTTCTATTTGAATAAGATTGGTAGATTCTGTAACCATGTAAACGTGGGTGATTTTTATGGGAAATGTTTTAAACGTATTTCTACCAAAGAGCAAAGCAAGCCAATGGTACTGATGAGTGATAACTACGTTATTTCCATGTCCAGAAGCTGAATGGTTCGGAAGCGGCGATGAGGGCTCGGCCAGCGGTGAGGGTCTCGGCAGTGGAACCGACCTGTCCGATCAGACAGCCGGCGAACTCCCGGAGACCGGACACCAGACACCCGCCCAGACCCCCAAGCTGTGGGACGGCGACAGTGAGATATCGTCCTCACCGGGTAGTGGGCAGGGTGGGGACGGTGTAGAGGATGGGGTTGCACCCACAGATATGGTGGTTACTACGGGACGGGAGGGTGACGGGTTCGAGTCCCAAAGCAATGGCCAGCAGGTTCAGGCTTCCTCTGGTGTAAGGAGCGTGTTGTTTGGAAGCGAGAATGAAAACGAAGAAGTCCTGGCTCACACCGAAGGAGCTAATGGTGAGGAGTTCGAGTCCCATGGCAATGAAAACAGGAATGAGGGCTTCTCTAGTGTTAGGGAGGAGATGTTTGGACGTGAAAATGAAAATGAGAACCCACCAGCCCAGCCTGAATCTGCTGACCCCCTAGCTGGCAATGATGACGTGAGTATCGCTGAAAACACGTACACTAGTGACACCGACATTGCCGCTACCGACAATGACGTTGACGCTTTCACTGGTGACGGACACGTTACGACTGAAACCACGACTCGCACATACGAACAACACACGACAGGCCATGCCCAACAAGACACGACTCACGACACTCAGCCAACCACTACTCACGACACTCAGCCGATCACGACTCAAGACATGCCACAAGAGTCAGCCGACGACACACACCGCATGTCAGAATTCGAAACTATTCAATCAAGCATGCTAGGCCGCGATGCGTTTATGATCGACGCAGTCGGCGAGGCACCCGAAGTCCACCCCCTGATGGCCGTACAGGCGTTTGTGCGCGAGGTGACTCACATGCGCGACTCGGGCGAACTCTCCCCGGCCAGCCTGTTCCGCGCTCTCGGCATGAGCGACCGCGCCTTCCCGGCCGAGCAGGCCGAAGCGTTCCCCGGGCTTCTGCGCGGCCTCGGCAACCTCACGGCAACCGGGTTGCTGCAGGCCCTCGGGATCGGGAGCGAGCCGTTCCTTGAGAAGAGCATGGAGGCGTTCTTCAGCGAGATGCACCGCATGCGCGCGGCTGGGAACCACACGGTGTCCAGCCTGCTGAAGTCCCTGGGCGTACCCCTGCCAGAGCAAGGCGTAGAGAGCGAGGGCGACCCCATGGCAAATCTGACCAGGCTGTTCTCTGATGAGATAGACCCAGGAGCGGGGTTGGGGGAGGGGGGCGACGCGCTGAGCTCCTTCGCGAAGGCGTTTGCCGATATCATGGAGATATCCAAGGGTTGGGGCAAAAAGAAGTAGTTGCAGGGATATGCAGTTAACGACAAAATTATTCATACCTGCCGTGACCTGTCATATATTTTGCTATGTAAAAATTGCTTTGTTCTTGTTTTTTTAACAATCGGGGCAGATTTGAAACATTGATGAATGCAATCACAAAATTTGTAAATTTTTTTGTTCGTAAAGTACTTCATTAATTGCTTTACAAAACATGCAATGTCTTCAAGTTTTCATACACTTTCGTGTTAAAAACTTAACAATCATGATTATGAGATCAAACCCCAATTATGTCTAATTTACAACTGACAACTAAATTCCACTGTACTACATTTCATTCTTGAGACGTAAAAAATTGATAAAGGTATGAATAATTTTGTTTTAACTGTAAAAATAATCAGTAGTGAAATGGAAGTGATATAATGACAGTGACAATTCTGAATATTGAAGAGGTCTTAGTCTTAGCAAATTTTAGTTCTGTAGCAGCAGCAAATAACTGCTAGCTTTTGATTTCTCCACAATCTATACTTTGATGAAAAGGGGTAAAATAAATGTTTCGGCTAAAAAGATATTATACCTACGGAAGAGTTTAGGCAGAGTTTAAGGACTGGCGCCAGCGTCCCTCACCTCAGTAGTGCCTTAAGAGTTTCGTAGGAGCAGGAATTTAGTGAAGTATTTGATGTTTGATAATCTGAAGAATCCATAGTCTTGAGACACACACATACACGGCATACTGCATACACGGACAGACTTACTGCTTCTTCTATCAGTGAATTAATAGACCAGATAAAATATGATTCCATTCCTTGATAAAATGTTGCTTTAATATAGCATGATCCTAGACCCAGGCAAATATTAAACATTGTTAATCTAAAAAAATTGGCAGCTCTGAGATAGGCTACCTTTATTTCAAGCACCGTTTGAAATTTATTTGTATTGTAAGATGTATGTTGTATGCAATATTTATTTCCTACATTTCAAATGTAGAAAATTCAATTGAATGCACTGATATTACTAGTCTTAGTAATGTTATTTGCTAACCTAAATATTTGTGATTATTTAATGAGCACTTACTGTTGCTAGACTCCCCTGGCAAATTGTTCTCACTATTTTACAGCCAACATTGTTAGTCTGGTGGAGAAGAGTACTCTTGTGTGTTATGATGGAGAAAGAAAGATTTAGAGTCAATGAAGATCCAGATTTATGTATCTGCAATTGATGGATAGAGAATGGAAAATAAAATATATTTGGTCTCCAAACTGTCTGAGGTGTGATGATTTGTGATCAGAACTGACATATAGTATGAGTACTATGAGTACAGTCCGGTAAATCCAGGAAAACCATAGTGTTTTCTTCCTTCTCTGGCATTTCAATGCCAAAAGTAAGTACATTTGCAAAGCAAATTCATAATTTTTACAGAACATCTTATTATGTGTATCATACTGGTGCATAGTCACTAAATCTAGTAGACAGGGATTTTATATACTAGATATTACCTGTGAGAATGAATGGACAAGACACAAAAGTTGGAGAAAGTACTTCTTCTCTTCTCTTTGTTATGAAAATTCTACAAATGCACAGTCAAGACTTTGAAATTTCACATCTCAAATTGATTCTCATACTTTGTACAACTAGAAACATATGTACATCAAGTCTTAAATCCTTGGTAATTCCTGGCCTCTACCAGGCTTCCCAGGTTGCTGGAAAACTAGACTAAGTAGACTATCATGAAAGTTCATCAGTGTTGCTTTTGGTAGTTACGTGTCTAGAGTTAAAACTTTTGATCCAACACACAAAGTCCTCTTTCCGGCGCTAGGTGAGAGAACTTTATTGTGTTGGTTCAAAAGTCTTAAATTTAAACATAGACTATTAGTAAAAATTGTCCAAACAGGGAAGAGGTAGATCATTGCTGACTGTCTTTATTTCAAAACAGTCGCCAATCTATTCAGTTTAATCCGGACATTTTTATCAGGGGTCAGGGCTTTAGTCTAGTTTTCTAGCTACCTGGGGGGCCCGGTGGGGGCTAGGTAAAGCCTTAATAAGAAATAAAAATCAGTCCTATCACCACCATGGTCTGGTGATGACAAACACAGCTATGATGAACAGTGTGAGAAGCAGAGCAGACCCCAGGTTGTGCTGGTACCGCTGGAAATCTCCGTCTGCAAACAACATGGAAACCGGATAGAACAGCTCCTCCCAGCAGGCATTTAGCCTGCACACGTTGGTGGAATTTGCATAGAACCTGCAAAACAGAAAGTTGAACTTAATTTCTTACACTCTAACTTTAAATGGGTGAGACTATAATTTTTACATTGACAGTTTAAGGAAGCTTTATACCAGCAATCTACTAAAGGCCACCATCAAAACCTGTATTCTGTACTCTCTATGCAGAGGTTAGTCCTGTTTTGGATGTTTTTCATTGCCTTTTTAGGCATTTTTTTACTGACAGGCTTTCTTGTCCAGGATACACAAAGAAAAGCCGACAAAGGGAGCTTTAGAACAGCAATCTACTAAAGGCCACCAACAAAACCTGTATTCAGTAGTCTCCATTGGCAAGCAGAATTCAGTCCTGTTTTGGATGTTTTTTTCATAGCTTTTTTTTCATAGATTTTGTAGGCTTTCTTCTCCAGAATAGTCACAAAGAAAAGTGGACAAAACATAATCACTACAAAAGGCCTATAAAGCTTTTAGAAAATGTCCAAAACACGTCTAACCCTGTTTTTTACAACACTGACCTCTTGACGGGTGCTGGTGTTAGAGCAGGTACTCTGGTGAAGGTGACGGAGCTGGTGATGTAGAAAGACTGCACGGTGCCAGTGATGAGGTCAGATATCGTTGATGAGTTGCCGAGATCAGCCAACACTGAGGAGTTCCCGTAACATGCAGCAGACAACGGGCCTGAGCACTGCAGCTTCCACAGTGTACTTGAGAAACTAGGGGGAAAAAAAAAATCACAGATCAAAAAGAGGAAATTATGTTGATGGAAGAGTGGTTTCCATACACTTGAGGTTGCATTTGAGCTTCTTGCAATCCAGTCAGTCATTTTAGTTATTTAGTTTTCCTACACTGGATAAAATGAAACAGGATAAAATGAGAAAATTGATGAAAAAAAAGGCCACTGCACTTTGTATTTTTTTGTCCTGCACATGCTATGGTTTTGGACTTTGGGTGGCAGATTGCTTTCCATCATGAATGTGTGGTGTAAACATGGGCCCCCTAGCAGCTTGTCCTGAAATGGGATGGAGAAGAAGGATTTTTTATTTTGGGTGCAGAGTGCTTAAGTGGTGTAGGACTGGGCCCCCCTGGCAATTGGTTCTGGTACTGCAGGGGCACTTTTGTTACCTGAGCTATTGCATGAGAAACTTGCTCTTTTTCTGTATCTTTTGTCATATGGCCTTGGACTTATTGGGTGCAGAGTGCTTTCCATGCTAGCCTAGTAATAAGTGGTGGTGTAAGTTTGGGCCCCCTGGCAATTTGTTCTGGTACTGCAGGGGCATTTTTGTTACCTGACCCTCGCCCCGACGACCTCCTGGATGAGAAACTCGTTTTCCTTGCCGACGTCTGCGTACAGAACCTCCAGGTTCATGGCCGCGGGAATGTCCTGACACAACCCCTGCAGCTGGTCAACTACATCAGGCTCCACGCCGGCCGGGGTAGGGGCCTCTATGGGGGCGGCTGTGTCATTACTGTAAATCAAAAAATAAATAAGTTATAAAGGATGAAACTATTGCACAAAACTTTAAAGGAAAACTTTTAACGAAATTTAAAGTTCAGCTTGTAGAGCAGTTTTTAAATTTGAGTTCGGCTAGCATTGACCTTTACCTCTACTTGAATGTGTAAATAGGCATTATTATAGCTCTCTACCGAATTTGTGTCATTATCTTGTAAATTATGTAATTTTTAAACCATTAGTGTTGTTTAACGTCAATTTTATGAACTGTAAAAACAACTCAATTCAGACTGTCGTCTGCTAGTTGTTTGAATAAAGATTGATTGATTGATTGATTGAATGGCATCTGGCATCTCTTTTTAGCTCTAAAAAGGTTGAGTAAACAAAGCGAAATCAACAACAAAGTGAACCATTCATCCTCCATTAAAGAGAAGCTGAATGCTTGCTACTAGTACTACGTAACTGTAATCATTAACAATTCTTTGTATTCATCCAATTTTTCTTTAATTTCTTTTGAAGCTACAAGTGTTCCTAGCCTAAACATTCTTCCAACAGTGTGAGAAATGCTGACAGGCTTACTTGATGATTTGTACCCAGTCCGTGATGAGAGTGGAGTTGGGGTTTCCTCCTCTGGACACAAACTCAGCTGTCACCAGCGACTCCTGTTGGGCTCGCACCTCAGATCTGGAACAGAAGTAAAAATAAGGTAAAGGTCTTTTCAGGCCACAGGGCCAGTGGGCTGTTGATCCACTGTGTCTACATGTAGGGCACGGTACTGGAAGGCGGAGCCCATCCCTGTCCTTAGACCACCTTTTACCTCAGAGTCTCCAAGTTGTAAGACAGGTGCCTATTTTAGACTTGGGTGGAGTTACACCTGTAGGAAAGTTGTGCACTGTATAAGTGTCTTTCCCATGGACACAAAATTCTGTAGTAAAAACATAGTGCAGTACATGTATATGATTTGTACCTAAGAGCTGCGCAGTCCTGGAAGTTGTCCCATGCCAGCCTCACGGTGCACCCAGAGATGGAGTCCTCCCCAAATGTCACAGCAGCTCTACTGGCAGAGGTGCACAGCCCGTCTGTCCCTGGACTCCAGACCTTAGGAACAAACATAACAACTGGTCAGTACATGTGCCTTGATCTTTGAGGTACATATGTCTAAGGATACATGTACATGTAGACTGGTTTCCACCAGACTCCTTTACAGGCTGAATGAATGGTAGATATTGGCAGGCAAATAGGCAATCTCCGGCCAATTAAATACCCTTCTTAGGCCAATTTCTACCATTTATTCAGCCTGCAAAGGACTCTGGTGGAGACTACATGTAGACTGTACGACTATATGTTTATACATGTAGATTCAGTAGGACTCCAATCATATAACCTGTATATTGTTATATTTTGTCTGACCCTGACCTCTTCCCTCATAACCTCAACGAAAAAAGTGGCCAGCAGGCTGATCTGAGTATCTCATGAATAAGCAAACTTATATTAGTTAAGGCTGAAACAAACAAACAAACAAATCAAACAAAACAAACCTGGAGCCCCGAAGACCCGATGTTTTCTACGCTGTCATTGGTCAGTGACAGCGTCCCAGTCAGCAGCACTTTCCCCACGTCGTAACCTGGATTTCCCGACCGATCCACAATTTCCGTCGCATCGACAGCCGTCGCATTGGGACTGTCGTAAGAAAACTCCACTCCAAACTTCTGCGCCAAAACCGTGGAGCTGTTACTGCCGTCGCCAGGGGTAACCGTTTCCATGGCAATGTCTCCAAGAATCACGAACGCCGCGGCACCCGTAAGTTCGGTCCCCCTCCATGATAAAACATACCTCACGTCTAGCACGACATTACTGCACGTGTCGGTGGTAGTGTTTGGAGTTGGGGAGGGGGGAAACGTGAAGCCGTCGTCAAATGCACACTTCTGCATGGTGCCTGGCACACTGTCAGCGAACAGGGAGGTTTGGTTGAAGACATAGATGTCGTCAGCAGTGGTGGTGGACCTGTGGAAAATACGACATGGCATTTCAGACCTCTTTGTAACTCTAAGACACAACAAAAAATTAATGATTTTACATCGGAATGATTTCATCTGGTTGGCAAGAGACTGTACAAGAAGTTTCTTTCTTCAACAACTAGTGGATTTTCATTCTGTTTGTTGAAGAAAGAACATTTTTAATAATTATATGACCAATGATTTTGTTTTATTTTTAATTGGCTTAGCATGTGTATGTATTTACTTTCTTACCAGCCCTTGTATTTTACCTGATTATACATTTTGTACTTGTATTGGTATAAGAAGGACTCCAGTAATATAGTAAATTCTTGTTTTAGGAGATTCCTAATAAACAAATAAACAAACAAACCTGACGTAAAGGCTTGGGTCCGTAAGACAGAAGTATTCTACAGTAGTGGGGACGGTGTCAACCCCCCCATGCTGACTTAGGACTCGAGGGGGGGTTGGACAGGGGGGGTGGGTAGCAGCAGAGGGGAGTAAGTACTCCCTCGCATCCAACATGGAACCTTCCGTACAAAGACTTGCGTCCAGCGTTTGCGTACAAGTTGCATTTGAGGACACAAAATGCCTGACAATCCCGCTGTACAAGCACTGTCCTGATAAAATCTGTTGGGGGAAGGAGAGAAACCCTTGCTGTGTTTCTCCGTTTGCGTCTGTGTACAAGACCTGTGTGGCCAGCCCGTATCTGTACGCCAAAGAAGAGTCTGTCTCTACAGTCTCTCTTCTCTCTGTCTCATCGAATGAGAACGCAGGAGCGTTTGCATCATAGGCAGTCCTAAAGGCGGTCTCAGTTCTGATAGCGGAGGGATTGTCATAGTACAGGCCCAGATACGGGCTGTTGTCTCGCTCCACACACAACAGTCTGTCCCAATCTTCTTGATAACCGCCGCTGAAGGTACAGTACTGGGCTAGTTCTTTTGTCAGGTTTCCTCCAAATGCACCCTGGATACAGCTGGTGAAGATATCCAGATCATCCTGTGTGCACTCCTGAAAATAGTTAGGTATTGGTTAGGGTACCAGACTATACACCACTGGGGAAAAAAAACCTGGTGAACTTGCTTATTATAAATAGAAAGTAAGTCTACTATAAGAAATCTTTACAGTCATGACATATTGTGTTTAACGTTTAACATTTGAACTGTATGTGAAAATTTGAAAAACAAACTTTCAGCAATATATGAAAATAGATATCTTATTTTCAATGGATACACAAGTAGATGTCAAGCCAAGACATCTAAAATTTGGGGAAAAATTGTAACAGCAGCAACAACATTGAATTCACACTAAACAACCCTAGCAATGTGTATTATTAGGCCCCTATACTATGTTCTGTATACAAACTTACAGTATCACAGCAGCACTCAGTGTCACAGTGGTTCTCCCACAGGTCACATGGGCAGGGTCCCACCTCCACATAGGCAGGGTTAGGGATGACTCGCTCCACCAGGGGGGTGCCGACAACTGTGGGGACAGCCATGCAACATTAGTCATACATCACATGGGCAGGGTCCCACCTCGACATAGGCAGGGTTAGGGATGACTCGCTCTACCAGGGGGGTGCCAACAACTGTGGGGACAGCCATGCAACATTAGTCATACATCACATGGGCAGGGTCCCACCTCGACATAGGCAGGGTTAGGGATGACTCGCTCTACCAGGGGGGTGCCGACAACTGTAGAGAGAGCCATACAACATTAATCATAAATTACATACTTAGGCACAATATGTTTACCTTCACAGAAGGAAAACATTCTTTTTTGCTCAGTTTACTTCTTCTTGCTCAGCTCTACTTCTCCTCCAAACAAATAAGGTCAATGACCTGGACTGTCATGGTAACTGGTGCTGTAGTAGCCTGTGGTGTTGGATTACATTATGTAGCAAGTCACAGGACTTACCTTCAGCATTAGTGAGGTTTGCTGTGGTGTTTGTGGCCACGTTAGAAGAGAAGACAAAGGCAGCGGACCGTCCCTGGTACTTGGGGTCAGTGTTACTGGCCTGGGGAGCGCAGCACACTAAGATATATTCATAACTATCTATTTTACTTATCGTAAAATAACTGTAGCCTTACCTTCAGCATTAGTGAGGTTTGCTGTGGTGTTTGTGACCACATTAGAAGAGAAGACAAAGGCAGCGGACCTGCCCTGGTACTTGGGGTCAGTGTTACTGGCCTGAGGAGCACAGCATGTGACCAGCAGTAGGTCCTGTACAGGGCTGGTGTAGGTCTGGGACAGCAGCCACACGTCCAGCGGCTTAAAGATCTCATTGGTCTGGAGAAAGTCAATGTTGGTAGATTAATATTTAGAGTTAAGGAATGAGAAATAATTGACCATTTAATGACTCAGATCTGTATACAGCTACAAATGTACAGATACAGGACAACTTTTCATGTCAATGTTTTTTTTACCTTACTCAGTTGAGAATATGTCCTGCTTCTACAGTTTCCCCTTGTTTCTTACTACGTCTAATACATGTAGATAACTGCTTTTATATTATGAAATAGAACATAAAAACAAGCATGTGACTCATTTTACAGTACAGTCAAGCCTGCTCAAGCCGGCCACTCAAGGGACCAGAGAAAAGCGGTCACGTTGGGCAGGTAGTCTCCTTGAAGAGGTGGTCGCCTGGGCAGGTTTAACTGTATACTACTTTAACCAAGAGCTTAATGAACTGTCTCACCCCAAACACGAGTTCCACTGTGCCCAGCTGCCAGTTCCCTGCTATGGACAGGTTAGTCAGGGGAGAATCTGGGACTGATGTGGGGGTGGCTGGAAAATGTAGGAAAAAACTGTTAAAATCCTTCATACACCTTTCAGTGTATAGGGGTGGTGCCCATCTCTGTTTCTATAGCCCTTGGGCCACAAAAGGCACTACAGTAGGGTACTAGTCCACTGGTATTTTAGGCAAATATTCAAATGCCAACTGTTTCTGTAGATCTAATAATGGGTGCAAGACTGTCCTGCAGAGAAAAGATACATGGAGCAAACACAGATAGAATAGATTGTATATCAAGCTACTGGTAATATACACTTGCTGAGGTTGGCAGTATATCCGCACACAAAAAAAGAGAAAGTGAATTGAGAGTGGCACTCTGTGTTTCTTGAGGAGAGTGAAGAGTTATAATACTGTTGATATGAGAGAGCGAATCTTGAAAGCCTAAGACACTGCAGTGCATTATACAATAAGAGAAGTTTGAGCAGCCTCTAAGAAAGAAGAAGAGAGAAATTGTTAAAGTTGAGAACAACAACAGACAGGTACGGCAGCTTGGACAAATGATTGTGATTTTGAAGTGGACACAAAATTTGGTGTAATCTGTGCAAATCGGACAAACATCTGTGTTCACACACTTCACAGCACACACTACACCACTCCCTACCCGTGGGAACTGTTGAGTTGGGGGAGGGGGGCAAAGTTGGAGCTGAGGTAGGAGAGACACTCAGGGTTGTTCCTGTTCAAGGTTAAAAGATTCTTATCGTCAAAAGATGGAAAAGACATAGATTTGCAGGTCAAATCAAGAGCATTTTAAATTAACATTTAATACACAAGTCGTTGATTTCAATTCTTCATCAGTGTTGTGATATATCTATTATATATCTATACTAAGAATTACATAACTGAAACCTAAGTTATAACAGGAGTCAATTCACTATCACTCATACTGATGTGAGCACATTCTTCTGTGTTGAAAATAAAAGGGTTATTTTTAGGACACAACAAAACTTTACCAAAAGTAAGTCACTTAGTCAGGGACAGGTTATCATTATATATTAAGCATTTGCATGATTGTGCAGAAGAGGAGAAAAAGTGCCAAGTGCTCCTAGACTGTGCTGGAGAAAGAAAAGAGTAAGGCCAACTTTAGTAAAATTTCACCAAGGTTAGTAAAATCTATGCTTTTTGGGTCACAAAATTCATAAGAACTGGAAGGTCTGCTTGCACAGATAAATGTATATTATTATCTTTCAGTAAAAGATTTGCTTTGGTGTAGATGCTGAACAACAATGGTTCACACTTCACAGGATAATACAATTTGAAAAAATTTAAACAAATACATACATTGTATATGTGAAAGTAGCTAAGGCGGCCTTAAAAGTTATGAATGAGAGAATGCAGAGATATTAGCTACATTGTAGATTCTACATCTATGCAGGGAGACTATACTCATCCTTATACCCAGGGTCTGAGCAGAGATAGGGGCTTGCGTAAGCGTTGTAGCAGGGCTGGCAGAAGCAGGGTTTGGAGTGGTCAGTCCTGGAGTGGTCAGCTGTGCTGGTACTGTCCCTAGAGATGCCACATACCAAGCCATTTGGGTTAGGAAATGACAGAATTGTAGTAAATATTCCTGCATGCAGTAAGGATGATTAGCATTGATATAAATTGCATCAGAGCATCTGAAATTTGCACTTATCTGTCTTTTTGTGTATCTGTCTTGGTTGATGTGGTCGCTCCACCATACACCAGCTTTGCAGGCACACTGGGCCTGATGGCCCTATTCAATACTCTCACGCACTCAATCCTGGGCATCTTTATATATATTTCCTCAATTTCCCTCACAAAAGGGTCACTTGGAAACCCTACATACAAACTACCCTAACCCAGCACCGCCCACAACAATACTTCCAACCTACCTGCAGCAGCTGTAGGGACCAGGTTGGACACAGGTACACAGGTAGGGTTATCAGTCTGGCACAAACATACAATTACAAACCCCCCCCAAAACAATACAGTACTTCCAACCCACCTGCCACAGCTGTAGGGACCAGGTTAGACACAGGAACACAGTTGGGGTTCTCAGCCTGGCACAAACATACATGCATACAAACTCCCCCAAAACAATACTTCCAAGCAACCTGCAGTGCCAGATTAGACACAGACACACAGGCTAGGTGACACACCAGGGCTCGAAATACCCGGTGGCGCACTGGCGCGGCGCCACCTGATTTTGCTTGGCGCCACTTATTCCTAAACTCAGGTGGCGCAGCACCTATAATTTGCGTGGATCGAGCCGCTAATCGCATGGATCGGGCCCCATTGTCGGCACAATCTTGTGAATTGTCGATGAATTGTCGATCTCGCCATGACGCCACAAAGAAAACGTTCTCATTGGTAGAAAATCAGACACCTCGCTGGCGTTTCACAACACAATTTTCATGTAAACAACTCCGACTGTCCTTGTTTACATGCAAAGCGCGCCGATACAAAATCCTGCCGGCCGCCCGACCGACCGCATGCGACGCTAAGTTTTCGGCGGCTCGGCGGAAAAATAATCCATCCCCAGAAGAAATTTTACGCATGAAAATAACAACTACAACTTGTTTTCGTCGTTATATGAGTTTCTGAGGCCGTAAAATGTTAAAACGGTTGAAATTTGTCGGAAAAAACAGCTCGAAAGACAGAATGAAAATGGCCGACGCTGCTTCCAACAATGTGGTCAAAGGTGAAGATAGCATCCAAGCGTCCAAGATACATATACTAGTATTACATGCATGAAAAACATTTTTTCGGCAACGACAGAAATACAAATTCACTCGTATTTTTAAAAGGTTAATTTGTAAACATTACCGTGAAATTTTCCGAATTTATTGGTTTCTAGTGTCAGAATATAATGTTGTTTCTATGAATGTGCGGTTGGATGCTGTGGGGGCTTTTACATAATTAGATATTAAGAGCATGCTTTCTTTCTTTCTTACTTTCTTTATTGAGTGTCTCTAAATTTTTTTTAGTATGAGTTTATAGACATAATCACATTTTTATTTGTTCAGCTGTGTCAATATGTGATTTTGTTTGGGAAATATGATTGGGTTAAAAAGTTTGGTATATATTAATTATGTCCGTAACACCTTAGGAATACTTGCTCCAAGTTCCAGGTAATAAGTACATGTACAATTTGTATCATGTATTTTTCACTTGTTGAACTTGTGGAAGCACCGTTGGCCCCCGGTTAGGGGTCATCCGGGGAACCTATGCCCAATTTTTTTTAAATCAAGGGAGCTAATACCATTTTTTATTAGATTTTGAAGATTTGTCCGGGGGGTATGTTTATTCCGGGGGGTATGTTTATTTGGCAGATGAGAGTAACATTATCCTTGCGCAAACGAAGAACATGGCGCACGCAACACCACCCGCATAAGTGTGCCGCCATGTAGAGGCGTGGCATTCCCACGGCGGCAGCCCTGTGATGAAGTGATGTAAAGGTGGCATTCTTTATTAAAACAAATTGTTGTTTGAGAGCTTTTGTGTTCTTTACATTACTTTATTTTATAACATAAAACTTAAGTAGTTAACTAGAAGAAAACGTAATAGATATAAGTAGCAGATTTGAAGAAAATGATAACTTGGAAGTGTTGCCACTTGAATACTGATGGCGCCACCTGGCTTTTGACTCAGGTGGCAACATGCGCCACCTGGCTGAAAAAAGTATTTCGAGCCCTGCACACACACATACATACAAACTCCCCCCAAAACAATACTTCCAGCCCACCTGGTGCAGCTGTAGGGACCAGGTTGGACACAGGTACACAGGTGGGGTTCTCAGCCTGGCACAAACATACATACATACATACAAACTCCCCTCAAAACAATACTTCCAGCCCACCTGGTGCAGCTGTAGGGACCAGGTTGGACACAGGTACACAGGTGGGGTTCTCAGCCTGGCACAAACATACATACATACATACAAACTCCCCTCAAAACAATACTTCCAGCCCACCTGGTGCAGCTGTAGGGACCAGGTTAGACACAGGTACACAGGTGGGGTTCTGGGCGAGTGTCTGAGCCTGGTCTGAGTCCTCCACCTCCCTCATGGCGCAGGTGAAGGTGACGGTGTCAGCCTGTACAGCTGCGTCCAGCACCAGGAAGGTTCCAACGCTCTGCGCCGAGGTTCTGGTTGTGTCAGGGATGAACTGTACTGAACCCTCGTCAAGTGCAAAGGTGGACGCATCTCCTGATAGAGAAATAAAAAACATATTAAGGTGAAAATCTGTGTAAGTCTAATCTTCAAACTGTCAAACAAGAAGGCACATGGGGATTAAAAGACTCAAACAAAAGGCACATTGGGATCAGAAGACTGTTATCTTAGAATTTAAATACATTTGTAACTTCTAATCTGCACAATGCAGAAGGCAGAACAATGCAGCAAAACAATGACTGTACTGTCACTGTACCACTACTGTGTTATTACTGTACTAAAATGTGGATGTAGCTGTGTGATACTGGTTCCCCCCTCCCCCAGACTGTGTGGTACAGGAAGCAGACACAGGAAAACAATGACTGTACTATTACTGTACTGTTTCAGTACTGTTACTGTACCATTACTGTACTAACCTGTGGATGTAGCCGTGCGATACTGGGTCCCCCCTCCCCCAGACTGTGCTGTACATGACACTGACACAGGAGAGCCGCCGGGGTTGGTGAAGGAGTAGGTCACATCTCCTGTCGTACTGTTCACTTCCAAGGTCAGGGGGTCAAAGGTCAACTGGATGGAACCTGGGGAATGATGTAAGGAACATTTATAAACCTTCTCACATACATTTAGTAGTTAATACATATAAATGAAGTATAGATCATCTGCTTGCCAAGGACAATGTACATGTGTGTGCTAAAGAAACAGTTCTCTATTGTACATGTAAGTACTATTGGTACAATTGTACCCACGTTACTCACCAGCTGTTGCATCCACACTAGTGCAGGTCACTGTGACTTCATTGTCAACGACTGCTTCACTGTGATAAAAAACAGGGCAACAAACTTCAAATTCATGATTTTGAAAAAGATCTATCCAGCTGCTTGAGTAACTGTTTTTGTATTTCAATTCATCAACATCACAAAGGTATCACACACTAACTGTAAACTAAAATCTGAAAAAGGCAGTTCTATACATGTCTAGGTTCTAGATTAAGAAACCTATCATCTGAAGAGTACAAAGACATACCTGAGTTCCACCCGTACAGTAGCCTGGGAGACTCCAGCTCTGTTAGGCACCAGGACCAGACTGCTACAGAAGCCTGCCACTGGACCTTTTCTCACCTGCAGAAAACTGGGCGGGAACAGAGTGGTAATAATAAGTATTAAACTTTAAGAAGGGAAGCTAGTCTAACTAAAATTTCCTGTGCTTTGACAAATACACGTTAGGGATCAAAACTAATGGATTATGAAGGCTACATATACATGTGTGTATAATCAATAATTACTAATCATTATCATATTGTATCAAATTGTGCTGTAACAGCTAGCTCATACAGTGTAATGATGGTTATTGAAGTCCTTTATTCCTTACCCAGTCTGTCCAGCTGAAGTCTGTGGGAGGAACTCTGTAGTGTTGGTCTCAGTTCCTGGTGCAGCACTCCTGCCCAAACACTGCACCTCAACCTGACGTCCAGGTGATACAACACTGGGGGAAACACACCAACATACACATTCAAATTGTGTGAGGAAGAATCTAGCTAGCAATAGAGCTTTCTTGTAATAAATCCTAAGTCTGTGCACCCTGAGCTGTAACAATGTTGATGCTAAAATCTGCAGTCAATCTGTATTACAGTCTTCAAGACAGCATTAGAAGGTTCTTTCAGGGCTCTCCCCAAGACATGAAGGTGTTCTCTCTCTGAACAAAATCCTAGCACCCCTCCCCAAATATTCAAATTTAGTGTTTTCTCTGAGTATTTTCATGAAAATTCGCTGATTTTTATTGCACAGCGGCATCAACAGATTAGGGTGCACCTCTCCCCTAAAAATTTCTGGAGAGACCCCTGTTCTTTATTCAACAACCTGTCGGTTTTCACATCCGACATTATGGTAATCTTGTAGTTTGTAGTAATCTAGTAATCTTGTTGTAGCGCCCTCGAAGGACCTGGACTAGTGACCTAAAGGAATGGACAGGACATCCCCTGAGTCACCTGACAAGTCTGGCTGAGAACCGCCCTGGGTGGATAAATCTTGTGGACTGTTTAGTTGCCCCGACGGCAGGACAGACTGCTATGGGACCGGTGAGGTGAGGTGAGGTAGTTTAGAACTCAGTGTTTATATTTCATACCTGAATGTGACAGTGCCTGTGTCAGTCCCCCCGGCTGAAATGGTGATGTTGTCAAACGTGACCTCAGAGTAACCAGGCTGGTCGGTCTGTATGCTACAGAACACTGTCACCTGGCAACAACAATGTAAAACACAATAAGGCTACCTGGGCATTGAACAATGATGCAGAATTCACTAAACTAAAGATATCATCATCATCGGTCGGCTGCTGCGCAGGCGACTGCAAGATCCCTCCACTGCCCCTTGTCGCAAGCAAGGTTGGTGATCTGCTTCTCAGTTAGCTGGTTGTGCTCATCTCCCAGTAGTTGCTGGACATACTTGAAGTAGGAGGTAGGCTGTCGGCCTCGCCTGCGTCTGCCATGAGAGGGCACGTAGAGGGCGTACACACGGTACAGTCTACTAAAGATATAATCTTCTAATAAAAAAATAAAACAGAGGACCACCTTAGGACTGTGACTCTACCCACTAGCAAGTAGCATAAGTGTCGGGTGAGCAACAACAGTTGGGATTGGGATTCGAACTCCCTTTTACCTTTTGTCCAGAGGTAGGGTCACTAACCACTGGACTGGGCACAGTATAAACACGCTACGGGTAACCATGAGAAAAATACACAGTAAAAGTCTAGATCATGATGGTCACTCACATCCTGGGTGGCGTTTGCCGGCTGAGTAAACGTCAGGAACACAGGAATCTGCCCGCTGGTCTCGTGTTCAGAGATAGAGACGACGTTGCTGCCATCCTGTCCTGGGACTCCGACATTCACCTGGCCAGCTGGATCGGGAACAGCCAACATTGTACATACATTTAACTATGATTTACATGTAGGAGATGGTTGTTGACTGTGAATATTTTGGAAAAAAACTATATATCTTATTGACTGATGGCACAAGTATACCATTCAATCTAGGGTTAGTTCACCTCGCTCTCAATTGGTTAAGAACTGGCCTAGTAAAAGAGCAAAACTGGGTTCTATACAAACATTACTAATTTACAATTTCTAGACAGTCAGGCAGTCTTTGCCAAGAAAACAGACTATCCCTCTCCAGTTACTATTTTTTAACAGCCCAATACTTGTGAAACAGGAGGCTTTGCTACGCAATACAATATCAGCTTCTTCCAAAGACAAAATAGGCAAAATATACATTTATTTCACTTGTGAACCATAATCAAGGGAATCTAAATACTGCAGTTACACAAACTTCTAGAAGCAACTCTATGGATATTTTTTGGGAGGGGAGCAACTTACGGTTGATCTGTTCCGGTGCTCCAGTCTGTCCCTGTACATAATACAGCAGTCTAAACAACAACAACAACACGGCAGGGACTTTCACAAACATCTCCGCTTAGAAAAACCCTTTCCCGAAGCCTATGTCATTTTTCTTCCTGTAAACAAAAACTACAACACAAGTCTTCCTCGTTTGGATCGGCCGCCATTTTCCAACGCTGGAATCTCCAAGCTATCTCTATACAAAATCTTATCTCTACTCTGATTAGTTGAAAGCTGAGAATCTGACCAATCAGATTTACGTTTAGAAAGTGACAGAAGGCGCTTGTAGTTCAAAGGTGAAAGGTTAGAGGTGACAAAAAGGCGCGCTTGCTCGAAGTTGTGAAAATGTGCGATGTGAAAAGAGATGAATTTCTGCAGCTTTTACCAGAAATCAGGGACAGAATTCAGGACTGTGACTTTGTTGGTGAGTAACTGATACTTTGTAGATGTAAAGTTAGTTAGCAGAGACATTATAATGTAGAAACATACTGGATAATCAGGCAAGGATTTAGCAAGGAGGTTGATAATTTTTAGAAAGTTCGGCCATGGAACGGAGTTATAAAATCTTGTTGATGTAACTTCTTAATAATAACTTATACCCTTGGATAATAACGTTATATTATGTAAATACAGCTAGTCAGCAACATAGCAAATCAAATACATACATCTGATATATTTGTTACATACATATTGATTCATTGATTGATTGATTGATTGGTTGATTGATTGATTGATTCGTCAATTGATTATTCCCTGATACAGCCATTGACACAGAGTTCACGGGACTGTGCCTATCAGAAGCCTGCCAACCAAGGTACGACCACTTTCTTTCTAAAAAAGAGAAAAGATTTTATTTATCTCTTGTAACGTTACTCATTTGTGACTTTCATGCCTTTAAGATGGGATTTGAAATATTGAAGAAAGTATATACTGCCTCACATTTTTGTGTAATAACAGTAAACTACTATATGTCCCCTTTCCAGCCTGTTTGACACTCCCCAGGAGAGGTACAGGAAACTCAGACAGACAGTCGGCAGTTTTATCGTCTGTCAAGTCGGTGAGATGAAATCAGATTCCTGCCATCTTTCCTGTACAAATGTATTTTTCACTCCCTATTCTTTCCAGTCTAGCTGTTCTTGGAATCTTTACTTTTTTCAGTAATCAGTAACTAGTGAACATGATCAGTATAATATTGATAAATGTTGAGATTTTCTAAAATCAAGCCCCTCCTTTAAACTCTTACAGGTGTGTCTGTATTCAAGAAAGATATGAAGTACAACAGGTGACTCTCCTTCCTTCCTTTCTTCCTTTAGTTTTATTAATTTTTTTTACACAAATTTATTTCAGCATCTAGTCACCAATTTACTTCTAAAAAAAGCTTTTTTAATAAAATTTGGTGTTTCAAGTACTTTGAAGTTTTCTTAACCAAATTTGTTCATAACTTGTTCCTTCTATTGACTAACAGGTTTGATGTGTGGTCGTACAACTTCCACCTATTCCCACAGTCCTTTGCAAACCTGGATGTCCGGTTCAGCTGTCAGGTCAGTCTCTCAAATCTCAGTCGTTTTTTCTAAGATACGGTATTTACACATCATATACAACGTATCTTGAAATGCTATATATAAGACCATTGGTAAATAATTTCTGTTATTTATTACTGTTAATGATGATGAAAATGAATCAAGGGTAGTCATTTTTTGTCATTCCAGGCATCCAGTTTTGAGTTTCTTTGCCAGCACAACTTTGATTTCAACAAGGTATGGTTGATATAAACTTCAGACTGATTTTTTAACTGCTCTTTCACTATGACCAGGGAATTGTAGCTTAGAAGTTTAGGATCTGTAACAACATTGAAAAGTCAAATGCCTCGATATGTGAAATTTTGCTGTGATTTTGTATTTCCCCAGTTTGTATATGAAGGTGTTCCATACCTGGATCAGGAACAGGAGAAACTCCTAAGGAAACACCTTGACCAGACCAGTTGGCCTGCCTCTGGGTAAGAATGTCTTGACCCACTAAGGAAGATATTCTCAGACTCTGTCAGAGTCAGGATCTGTCAAGTACAGGATTTTTTTAACCTCCCCAAGTCATGCAATACATTGATCTATCCTTGCTTCACTATTTATCCTTAAAGAATATGTTTTTTTACTTGATCAGAATTTGTCGTATTTATGATACACTTTACAAAAAGTTAACACAAGAAAGATACTGAAGATCCCATGAGCTATCATTGTTTATTGTTTCCTTTATGACATGTACATTGTTTACTCCAGTGGTAATCAGCAGGACCAGGTCCAGTTGTGCTGCTCTACAGTGTCCCAGTGGCTCAGTAATGGATCAGGGACTGAGTTAAACCTCCCTGCACCTAAAGGTACAACTTACTTGGCTGTTGGTGGCCAAACAGCTACTTCACTGTGCTATAGCTGGGTACACATTTAGATGTGCTGTATTTCATCTAGACATAAATCATGTTCAAGTAATTACATACATGCACAAGATATTGTGAAGTATTATACCATATTTTGAATAGAAATAAGAAGTCTAGATTATAATTGTATGTACCATATTATAAGACTGCCCATTTCTGCAGGCCCTGTTAGGTTCCTGATCCATCGTGCTCTAAGGACACGATTCCCAGAGGTCTGGACATATGACACAGCAGACTCACAGGTATTTCATACAGTGAAATAAAAATACCTGTTATTTCTCTTCGAATCTTGATGCTACTATATTGTATGTTTCTATTCACATATATATACATTGTAATTATACATTTGTTCCAATGTTTTATTTCTCAGATAATTGTGAGAAAAGTGAGCCAGGAGAAGAGGAAAGAGGAGGAAGAAAAGGATGACTTGGCAGACAGGTATTACTGAGCAGGAAAATGATATTTTCTCCCTCCTTGTTTCCTAGATCTATATCAAATATACAAATTCAGTTTGTACATTAATATATTTTAAAGACTGCATTGTTCATGATCACTGTAGCCTACATGTAGCTCACAGACTTTGTGACTTGGAAAAAGAAAGTAAGTAGGTGAAGACTCAACATACCACTACTTTTCTACTACATGTAGTTGGACCTTGGCGGTATAAATGCAATGCATCTAATATTGTGAGATCACAATTTACACTGTATCATGCCATGAGAGCCTAAACCATTTGTGAAGAGTGAGGGTAAATGTTTGTGAAATACAGGTATATACAACGTATCTATGATGCTTGCCAGTACTTAGAGCTGTACATGTATGTTCACATTGTAAAGTGAATCAAAAGATGCAGCCAAGAAATCTCAATCTTAATTTGATCTGATCTTATCTTTAAAACTGCAGTTCTGCAGATGACGATAGGTGGCGCAGCTATACAGTGCACCACATCAACTATGGGCCAGTATCCCTACACACAGCTGCTAATCCCCCAATGGAACGCCTTGCCTGGCCCGGTAGTTATGGCTCCCACCGTTGAGTCCTTCCGGGCCAGGCTGGAGGCCTGCCCGCCTTAGACCAAGGCCTTCCCCCCCCTAAAGTGCCCCATCAGGGGCTATGTGGGGGTGTAGCCGGGGCTCACATAACATCTTTGAGCCCCGGCAAAGATGAAGATGAAGAAGTGGCTATTGATATGCTCCTGTTGACTGTTATGACAAGACTGTTCAAGGGATCACCTAGCAGTGAAAATTATTTTGTAAATTTCTCATTGGTGTGAAAAAAACTAACAACTCAAAATTCAGGGCAGCTGTCCTGTCTCAGTTCAAGGTGAAACTGTAGCCATTTGGGACTACTGACGTGCCAGTCTGTTTTTCATCTGCTTTGCCTGGTTCAAGTACCGTCTCGCTTTTCGCTTATGACCCAAGGCATTCCAGGCCACGGCTATGCAGCCAAGTGTGTCAGCGATACTAAAATCATGTGCATTAGGGCCGTACACATTTCTTTGCATCTGCAGGGACTTTTCAAAGCATTTGATAGCCTTTCCGTTCTCACCTAAGCCACGCCATGCTGTTCCGAGGGAGTTAAGCATGAGGGCAGTGTCGGGATGTGCTGTACCATGAATAGTTTGGAAAAACACCAATGCCTGTTCAAAGTGCTCAACCACTTTCTTGTAATTACCACGTCCACGCCAGGCAAACCCCATCTCTACAAGTGTTAAGGCGATGTTTGGATCTGAGTCATAGATAGTTTGGAACATCTGCAGTGACTGTTCATAGAAATCCAGTGCTTTCTGGTAATCTCTCAGGCCAGCATAGCCTTCTCCCAAGTTGCTGAGGGTGGTGGCAATTCTGGGATTTGCCATGTTTTCACCATAGACATATTTCTGCATCTCCAGTGCCTGCTTGTAGAAGTTCACTGCTTGACTGTAATCACCCAAACATTGCCAGGTATATCCCGTGTTATTCAGTGCATCAGCAAGCTTAGGATGTGCCTCACCCAGAAAGATACTCTGGTACATCTCCACTGATTCCTCATTATAGATCAGTGCCTTTTGGTGATTACCAAAGTCATTATAGACTGTCCCCATGTTGTTGAGAATGTTTGCAATGTCAGGATGGGCAGGATTGTCTTTATATATGGTTTTGAACATTGGCAGTGCTTCTTCAAAGGAACTCATTGCTTTACTGGCATCACCCAGGTTCTTCCAAGCTGTCCCCAGGTTATTGAGGGAAAGTGCAATGTATCGATGTGGAGTATTTTCGCCAAAGACTTTTCTCAATGTCTCCAGCGATTCTTCATAGTAGGCAATGGCTTTGCTGTTCTCACCCTGCTCCCAATAAAACGACCCGTGGTTGTTGAGTGCAGCAGCAGTGGCATCATGGAACTGTACGTCACCCAAGAGTTTTCTCATCCCCTGTGCCTGCTGCCCATAGATCTCGGCCTGCTTTGGATTGAAATAATTCCATGATGCAGCAAGGCTGCCAAGTTCTTGTGCAATCTTGGGATGTATTGCAGTCTCACCATAGACTGCCCTGTGCATTTTCAGTGCTAACTCTCTGTAGTTGATAGCCTTTCGTGGATCCCCTTTCTCGTGCCAGGCTGCACCCAATACAGACAAGGAAGCAGCGATATCAGGATGGGCTGTATTCTGACCGAATAAAGTGTTCCTCATCCTCAGGCCCTGTTCAAGCTTGCTAATGGCCTCCTTATAATCACCCTTGTTGATCCAAACCAGACCAATGTTGTGATGTGTTGTGGCAATATCACGATGTGCTGTCTGGTCACCATGAATTTTAAAGTTCACTTTCAATGTTTCTTCCAAATGGTCAAGTGCTTCCTGGTAGTTACCAATCCTGTCAAAGGATAACCCTAGAAGGCTGAGTGCCTCAGTGATGATGGAGTTTGCTGTGTCCTGGCCATAAACTTCCCTGTACATAGCCAGTCCTTTCTTTAGGTAACTGATTGCTTCTCCATATTTTGCCATATTATAATAGGCCCACCCTAGCCTGAGAAGCGACACTGCAATTTCAGGATGTTCAGTACTTGGTGCATGGATTTCCCGGGACATTTTCAGGGCTTGTTTGAAGCAGTCAAGTGCTTTTTTTTGCTTTCCCAAGTTTTGCCATGCTGACCCAAAATTCCAAAGGTATCTGACTCTTATCACCCCTGATACATTTTCATAGCATCTGACAGCTGCTGCATCATAGCCCAAAGAGAAGTACATATCGCCTTTTATTCTTGCAGAGTTATCAAATAGTATTACTTCTTTCAACAGGCCCTTCTTGGAAAGTGGGTCGTCTGAGAGGAAGTGGTTCAAAGGCATTGCTGTGAAGTAGTACCTCAGCAGCTGGTTTATATCTGAAATGTAGAACACCTTCTGTAATCTGCTGTTTTGTTCATCACTGTTCTGCTGTGATGCTGGCATTTCCGACAAGGCTGACAGGTTTTCCTTCTGGCCACCATTTGCGATGTAGGTCCTCAGTCTGAGTTCTGCTGAGATGCTGACCAGAACCTTCAGTTGATGAGCGTTTTCTGCACTAACAACCCTTTCAGCTTCCATGTCTTCAATCGTCTGCCAAATGGTAGAGGGAACAATGTTTGAACTCAGTGCCAAACAGTCTACCGCAAGAGAAGGAAACCTGTAGATTTCTTTCTTTACATCTAACAGAGTTGCAGTTGGTTGTTGGTCTTGCAAGTTTCCGAAGTTCTCTCGGATCATCTCCTTTGCTAGTTGCTGAGCCATTGTGCCATCATCAGCCTTCAGTGTTTCGTTGACAATCCCTACATATTCATCAACTAAAGTCTGTTCCCCTGCCAGTAGACAGACATTCCTCAAGACAGTAGCAAGGTGATATCCTTTCTTCAGGTACACTTTGGCATCCTTTTGTAAGATTCCAGCCATGTTCGTTGGTGTGCGGATGAGTTCACTTGGTGGTTCAGTCGAAGTGCCCTGCCTGCCCAGTGGAGTCTTGCTTGCTCTAGGCATGGAGCCATCAAAGGCAAACCCGCGTGGTGTAACAGAGTCATAGAACCAGTTCTTCAGTGGGTCGTCTGAGTAGAAATCATTCAGACTTTTTATCCCCAATGCTGGGAGGATGGTTTCTCCCAGGTTGACCACCTTGAGATTTAGATAGTGGCTGAGGTTACGCAAATAACCCTTATATTGTTCACTTTCATTCTCTACCAGGATGGCAAACTCCAGGTCTGAGTATGGAGTAACCAGTCCTGTGGCCTGTGAACCCAAACCTATCAGGGCATACTTACAGGGAGGGGGACCCATCACTGAGATACACTCATCTACTAGCTCTTTTATAAAGGTCTTCCTGTCTTCAGCAATTTTCTCAAACACCTGCCTTACTGTGTCAGCCCAAATGGCTTCAAGCTCAAGCATTTGTCTTCTTGCAATTTCCTTAAGTTGTCCATTTGTAAATTGTGGAGGGACTCCTGTCAACAACATCATTTCTAAAAATTTTGATGCTACCATGACTGTTACATCATTATCATTTGGGAAACCAAGCTCATCAAGTGATGATTCCATTTGCTCCCGAACTTCTTTCAGCTGTGTCTTGTGATTATCTGTTTCATGCCAATTGACTTTCTTATCTATCTTTAAGGCATGTTTAAGAAACAGCTCTTCTGTTTCTTTAATCGCATTTCTGACGGACTCGTCAGGGACCGTTGACCTGGCCAGTGCTGCATGGTAGAGTGCTGCCGCCTTGACAAAGTCTCCTCCATCCCCTGTCTGCTGACCTCGCCTGCAGTAGACATCGCCCAACTTGTGCAGCGGTAGCACTTCTTTTTCATACTGCAGAACAATAGGATCTGGCGGAAAACAAATTTGCACAATATTGACACACTACAAAGGACTTCTGCAATGCATATTACAACTACAGATTGATACACAAAAGAAGATACAATAATTTTGTCATCATGATATGATCTAGAAAGTACAGGGTAAGTAACTGCACATATTCAACACATATTTAACTACATTTGCTCTGAGGGTGACTTGCAATTGCACTAATTATTACACACCATAATCACATATAGTCACACAAAATTTTTAATGTATAAAGTTGTTTCTGACTGAAATACCTCTGACATGTACAAGCCTGAGTGCTGCTGCAAAGTGCTTCTCTGCTGAGTCCAGGTCTCCCTTCTGTACAGCCTCCTCACCTTTCTTCAGTTCATCATTGTACTGACTAGAGAGGGGTCATATAATGTAAGTCATGGGGCACTTGGGCTTTTATGATAGCCAAAAATCCACACATGGGCTCTTGTATTGTAACAGGAATTGGGGCATGTTGCTGTTTTTTAATCAGTTTTAACTTATTTAACTTATTTTTTCATCACTCACCTGGATATGTCTTCCTTAGAGAGGACAACCTTGACTGTGTTTGTGCCGTCAGATGCTCCTTTCTTTTCCGTCTTGGTGTTCATCTGCAAGCAAATGTTGTTGCTGTCTTGAAATATTTTTTGAAGCATTAGCCAATTGGCTTGTGTTCAAACCTTGCCCCTTGTACTCATGGTATCATAGGCTCAATGGAATGAGGCATTGTATTTTATTCAATCTGCACCTACTCTAATGTCGTATAATATCTGAGCTGACTACCCTTGAACCGTCAAAGTTTTTTAGAATTTACTTTGAACAATTTCATAATAACGCAAGTTCAGTCAGGGTTACATGTAAATAGTCTGGATCTATGTTTCCTTTGAAAAAGATTGCATATTTCTAATCCATTTCCTAATTGTGTGTACCGGTGTCTTCACTACAGCTAGTATGATCATAGTACAGCTAGGCTACTTAGTAGTATCATAGTACAGCAAACCATTCAGAATCCTTTACCTTGCCTAAGTGTTCTTACTTCTTCTTTCATGTAAACTGCATTTAACACATTGCCAAGCTCCATCCCACTACCTACCTTTGGGCTGCCTGTTGCCTCAATGTTGGGCTCCAACTTCTGCAGTTTGCTGAGCATACTGATGTACTTCCAAATGTTCAGATGTTTATGGGTAAAACTGCAAAGACTGTAGAAAAGGCACAACTTCCTGTGACCGTCTGTCCATGTACAATGTAGGACTTACAATCATGACTCATAGTCACTAAACTGTTTTATATCTGACCTACATTTGTACATCCAGTTTCTATTGACTTACCAATTGCAACATTAATCAATAACTGACAAGTCAACAGTGGAAAGTCCCATGTTCTTTGAACTTCAAGCCACTAATATGATATCATAAACATTGATACCAGAGATGTTTATGGCTTAATAATGATTTATCTACGTGTGCGTATCTACATTAATCAATAACTGACAAGTCAACAGTGGAAAGTCCCATGTTTTTTTAACTTCAAGCCGCTAATATGATATCATAAACAATGATACCAGAGATGTTTATGGCTTTCTTAATAATGCTTTATCTATGTGTGCCATTATAATACTAGTAGTTTCTTTCTAAGATGTAGTGGTTACTAGATGATTGTAACAGTTGTAACTGCTATAATTGTTTTACTGTGAAAACACTTAAGGTTAAGCATGAGTCATGGGAACCCCCTTGAGCATGTTGGATCAAAAACACATTCACAAGACAGTTGTGTCTGATATGGAAACTCAAACAGTTTCTATTGACTTACCAACATTAATCATTAACTGACAAGTCAACAGTGGAAAGTCCCATGGGTTAGTGCTGTATTTGCCCAGTCACAAGTATGCAAATGAGTTGCATAGTCACATGTATGTAAATATTATGCACAACAGGTTATTACACACAATGTATTACTCCTACTACACCCAGGACATTCTCCATTCCTCAGCCCTTTCTCTGCTATTCTGGCTCACTCTGAACATTCTCCATCACTCTGAATATTCTGGTTCACTCTGAACATTCTCCACTCCTCTGGCCTTTCTGGGCTATTCTCTGAACATTCTCTGTCACTCTGGCCATTCAAAGCACCTCTGGTTCACTCTTAACATTCTCTGTCACTCTGGCCATTCTAAGCACCTCTGGTTCACTCTGAACATTCTCTGTCTTTCTTTCTTTCTTTCTTTCTTTCTAACGTCAAAGGAGTAATGACTCCGGCAACCACCTAGGTCCTCCTCCCTCGAGCATGTCCAATAATGTCTTCAGACCGTTCATTGTTATGACTCCCATCTTAAGCTGTGTCATAAGTCTTCTGCTATCCCCACGAAGGTACACTCGTCCTCCCTCTCCTCTCTTGATTCCCTTCTCTTCAAGTCTCATCATTGACCAAGTAGTTGGACCGTTGTGCCTTGACAGACAGTTCTTCTGGATTATATCCACAACATCGGGCACAGTCAACTTTATGTCACCAAAGGGTACAGCAATTCCGGCCAATTTGTCTGCCACCTCGTTGTAATAAATACCCGCATGACCAGGGACATAGACGACGTTAAGAACGCCTTTTATAGCCATCAGAAGTCGAAGCCACTCCTTCTTAATTCTGGCACTCTGGAGTTTTCTCACTAAGCTGTATGAGTCTGTTAAAATGATGGCAAAGTCTTCCTCGTCCCTTTCTCTGTCACTCTGGCCGTTCCTTATCACTCTGTTCACTCTCTATCACTCTGGCCATTCTCTAACACTCTGTTCACTCTCAATCACTCTGGTGACTATGGTAGTGTAATATTACATAGGGTAATAATTATATGAGTAATACATTGTGTGTGTGATAACCTGTTGTGCATATGGGTATTTGCATACATGTGACTATGTAACTCATTTGCATACTTGTGACTGGGCAAATACGGCACTGACCATGGAAAGTCCCATGTCCCATATGTTTGTTCAACTTAAAGCCAGTAAACAATTATAATGCCAGAGATGTTTTTGATGTAATGTATGCTTTATCTGTACAATCTACCACATTTCTTTTATAAGATGTTGTGGTCATTAGATGCTATTGTAACTGTTATATAACTATTTTCTGGCTGTAACACTTGTTGACACTTAAGGTAGCATGAGTCATGGGAATCCCCTGACCATGTTGGATCAAACGTTAACATGTTGTCACATTCTGTCACAAGACTGTTGTGCTTTCCAGGGTGTAACAGTTGTTGACACTTAACGGTAGTATGAGTCATGGGAATCCCCTGAGCATGTTGTGGATCAAACATGTAGGCACAAAACTGTTGTGTCTGTCTTGTGGAAACTCAGACAGTTTCTATTGACTTACCAACATTAACCATTAACTGAGAAGTCAACAGTTATAATGATCCCTTCAACCAAAATATCTTTTTCAACAAAACACAATTTTCACCTATTTCCATCCATAGACCAACCTTAGTAATGTCACGTTTACAAAATGTATATCCTGCAATACTGTCATTGGGACAAGAGTTCTGAAGAGCTCTATTCACCTGTTTAGTCATGTGAATGCCGTGCTAACCTCGTCGCTGCTAAGTAGACAGTAGAGAACACTGTCACAGTGGTGTCACTTTGGTTTATAGTCTGGAAGTAAGAGTAACAACCGACCTGCTCTCGCCATTGGCACCAGGTGAAGAGAAAGTCAGCGGGTATGGCTGCAGCTTTTATACTGTGTGGGGGCTTCTGGGAAGGGGGGTTCCCCATGAGCTAATAATAGTTTTGCTAATGATTGTTCACAATATCTAAGGGCCTTTGTGTGATCACCAAGGTCACCCCAAGTGGCACTCAAGTTGTTGAGTGATGTCTGGATGTGCCAGTTTTAAGAATTAGGAGAGTAGAAACTTAAGACACTCCTGGTCCCGGGGATTGAACCCATACCAAACCTGGTCACCAGTAGTGACTTTTCAAACTTAATGTAGCTGCCAGCTCATGTATGAATCATATGAGAATGTCAAATTGAATGTGAAGAAATACATTTTAAGTTATTATATTAAAATTATAATGCTTTCCCCCCAGAGCTCTGGAGTACATGTTGGGATTCACCCATGTGTTGAGAACCCTGACCCAGGCCAGGAAGCCAGTAGTAGGACACAACATGCTGATGGACCTCATGCTGCTGTATGGCAAGATGTACAAACCACTGCCAGGTACAGCAATCTATATACATGTACATGTACTACAAACCACTGCCAGGTAGTAATCCTATTGTTGTATCTCTCTGATTTAGAAAACATTATATATAACTGAGTAGCCTGTCCTTGGTACTCAGAAGAACATTCACGTAAAAATAATCAATGTTGTTACAAGCTACATTTGTACACATGTAATTTAAAAGCAAATGTGAAAATTACATTAGGCTGTCAAAAGTAAAGCATTCCGTTTATTGTTTTCATTCCATTTTTAATCATGTTATTGGAGACATTCGAGTATTTTCCTGAAAATTTGCCATAATGAATTGTTGTCTTCCCCCAGAGAAATATGCCCAGTTCAAGAGAGACCTCCACCAGCTGTTCCCCTGTATATATGACACCAAACACATCGCAGCTGAGCTCAAGAAGGTAACTGACTAATATATATTTTTTTTCTTTCATGCCTTGCTTCTGGAAGCATCTTGTTCTTACAATCATGCTAGTAGTATACTAAATCTATAGTATTCCAATTTTGTCTCAAATTAAACGTGATGCTTTTCATTAGTATTGTTCTCTGTGTAAAGACTGCAATATCTTCCTTGCTTATTATCTACTCCTGTCTACCCCCCCCCCCCTAGCCTCTAGCTGAGTTTGGTGTTCTGCAGTCTTCAGTCCTACAGGATCTCTATGATGCTCTCAGCAGGTAGAACTATTTCTAAAGGTTTCCTTTTCACTGTAATTGATTGATAGCTAATTGCCTGTTGATGCTCAGCCTCTAGTCTCACTGTTATCATTGGTTTTCAATAATCTTGAATAGAAAATTACAGCAGTATCATTGTTCTTTTTTTTTGGCTATAGTAATATATTTTGTATTTTCTCTCTATCTACCATAGCCACAAGGGCAAGTTCATGGTGCTCCACTCCCCGGCAATAGTCCCTGCAGCAGAATGTGACAGATATAGTAAGTAGAGACACCTTTATTTCATACTTTACTCGGAATTAGTAACTGTAAAATGAATGTAACCTACCACAGTGCAGATAGTACACTAAATTGTGGGAAAGTATGACTGTTAACCTTCACTATGCTAGGATAGCTTTTTGGCACCAAATTTGTAGTAGTTATGGACTTAAGTAGCAGGGAGAAGGTTAGTTTATGAAAATGATTATTTCCCATACAGTAAATGAGAGCCATCCCCATGAAGCAGGCTATGACTCATATATGGCAGGATATGGTGAGTTATGTCAATCTGTAAACCATAGAATCTGATGTGCTAATCCGAATCAGTAACTGTAACCGTAGGTTTGCTGTAATGTCATAGCTTTGTTGGACTCAGTATTTACTTAAAGCTGAATCAGATTTTTCTTGTTCTTTACAAAAATACTCCTATGCTCAATTGAGGAATATTGTTCTTTATCAAATATCAGTATTCATCATTATTACTTTTTTTTCCTGCTTGTCAGTTTTCATTCGGATGGCCCACCTAATTACTATGCAAGGGATCAGGTAAGATCCCATCTCTTCTTTCTCTCTTTATAGTGTACAATGTAACCTTTGCCTGAACCACACCTACTACTGGTACTAACAAGAGGATGTTGACCAATGCTCTGTTTTCCTTACTTGCTCCCCCAGTAAGCAGCAGCCGGTTCCCCCTAGGTTCAGGAGGTATCTGGAGGTTCTGAGGAGGTTTCAGGATAAAGTCAACGTCATACGGGCAAGCATCGACCATATAGTAAGAGTTATAATTTATACATTTACCGGTAAAGAGAAACATAGTATTAACCCAGATACTGGAACTATTAGTAGGAACTATACATGTACTTAACAAACATATTAGCAAAATGCAGTCAAAATTGCCCCAAAAGAGCACTCAACTGATCAAAGTCTGGTCTACATGTATGTGGACAGGTGGTCACTATTGACAGGATTCTTAATACTTGTGTTGATGGTTAAGAAAACATCTTAGTGACTACTTTTTGGTTGGCCAGGTGGTCCTCATGTAAAGGTGGTCACTTTGGAAAACATGTATATTGCACTAGAACTACGAAGCCAGGAATGACTTTTCTACTCTTTCCCAGTGTCTGTCAGGAGAAGACCCAGTATCCAGACGACCACAGTGGCTGTATGTCACACTGACACAGAGCAGGGCTGCAAGGACTATCAACTCTGCACAGGTACTTTTATCTGCATACCTGCACCAGACAAGTTTTATTGAATTTTACTTGCACACTCTACTGGCAAAGGAGAGTTTAGAACCTATGGATTATGGATGTTTGTCACCTCATCTGTTTAGGTGAAGTTTTCCTAGTACATTAAATCCTTCATTGTTAAGAAGATCCTGTCTAAATTGTTCACTTGAACTGTGTTATTTTCTACACCTGAAGTGTGTATTATACCTCTATTTCTACCCTGTGCCCAGATTGCAGAACAGTTCTCGGCGTACGGCTCTGTCGACATCCAACCTCTGGATGCAAACCACTTCCTGGTGGCAGCACACAGCTTTTACTGGTTGGTGTTAAATTACATGTACAACTATGGGTATTAGATTTCATACTAGTACTGCAGTTGTTAACCTAATAATCACTAACAGTTTATGTGATCTAGTAGTATGATTCAGTTAAAGATTAGAAAATCAATTTAAGCTGACAGCACAGAAAATAAAGTGACTAGAAATACAAATACTGGTTATGTCCTTGGTGCTGAAAACACTATTCATCAGTTAGATGCCAATTTTGATTACTGATTTTCCTTGAATACAGGGTTCTTTTGAACACAACCAGTCACTAATAGGTACCTGATCAACGTTTCTATGTCATCAGGGCCAAAATGATGTTACTTTTAGAAAGAATTTGTCTATGACAGTCACCATAGTTGGATTTGAAACAAAATAGTAAATTTTTCCTTATGTTTCCTACAGTGCTAAGGACATCCTCCGAGCCTACCGCAGCCACAAACTCATTCATGTGACCTACTATAACATGTGGAAACACTCCAGAACTGTGCAGGCTTTGTTATGGTGAGACAAAATATATCTTTATTTTTCTCTTTTTCTTTTTGTACATTGTACTTAGTGACAATGGACATTTGATGTAATATTTGTGCTGGAAAGTAGAAACTTTCTAACAAATTTTCCCACTTGTGATTTCAGGACCAGTATCGGTGTTTCTGTCCTGGGCATTGCTTGGACATTTCTCGGCAAGAACAGCTGATTTGGAAGTTTGGATTCCAGCAAACAGTCGCAAACATTCCCAAAGAATAAAACATAACATGGTGTCATTGGTGCTATACCTATATTATGTATTAATAGGAAATATCTTTTTTACCTGCATTTTGCGAGTAGTGTTAGTGAAATGTCCCTATCTTGGTGAACCTATGTTAAACTTTGAATAAAAATGTAATGAGACACAATGATGGAGCAATAAGATATCAGTATTTCATTATTTTTCTGTATTTCATTAAAGCCATGGTGTATATACAACTGCAATCTCTGTATCTTGACTCAATTTGAAGATATGGCCATAATTTTTAGCTTTAGATGTACCTGTATATAAGCTGTATACATGTATGTAGATCTACATGTAAGTTAAAGGTAGTCCCTCAGACATGCTTCCAGTAAAGTCATGTGAAGTGCATTTTCTAAGGACTAGCGAGCAATGCCAGGAATCGAACCCAAGACCTCTCATTCTTGTGTCTGCTAGCCCTAGCAATTCTACCATCCGACACAGCTCATTCAGCCTAGTCTCATGACAGACACCAGAGCGTCCAGGTCCTGTAGGTCCAGCCTCCATGGCTGGAGCAGGGATGTCAGGAACTGGGCAGTCTCAGGACAGTACAGGCTTTGCATTATCACTGGGACCTTAGTGGCCAGGCTGGGGGGAGAAATATGGTCAAGGTTATATGTTTGGCAGAATCACATTCATAAAATGCCTTGCACAATTTTTATGCCATTGGATTTTTAAAGAAGGCTGTTACAGACCCAACCATGCATTGACTGGCAGTTACATGTGGGGCAGCCTTTCCAGCAACAACACAGCTGAAAATTGAAGGACGCCCTTATTCTGTGATCCGGATACTGTTATGAATGAGAAAAAGTCACATGAATGAGAAATATTGAGACTTACATGTGAATCAGCACTACAGCCAGAAGCTTCAACTCAGCAGGTCTGAAGATGATGTTGTCACTGGTCAACCTGCAGAGGACAAGGCAGACAGGTACAGTTTCATGTCATACAAGGCTTAAAAGCTCCTAAGAGTTGTGATGCATATCTATAAAGATGAAACATTTAAGCAAAATGTAATAAACACTTAAAGAATCAGCCCACCTGAATGTCTTGACCAGCAGGTTGAGTTCAGTAGAAAAGTCTCTCACACCTAGACGAAGGGGGGCCAACACTGAGGGGAAACTGGGGGGACATGGGCACATTAGAGATATCAGTACTATCCGAAATGCCATTCGGTCAAAATGGGTCCAGCTTTTTTTTTAGTTGGAGAACTGTTAAATTGTTCCATCTATATCTATATTGCCAGTATAACCACCCTTCAGCATATAACACACCAGCTTCGCAGGCACACGGTGTGGCGGCAGCTGGCTACATTACACCAAATGACTTGTTACACCTAACCCTTGTACATCTAACTCTAAACATGGTTTAAAGCTATTTAATGATAATGCCCCTTGGTGACAGTGAGTTCCACTCTGCGATAGTTCTAGAAATAATATAATTTGCCAGATAAACTTTCATACCAGTTGTATTGTTTGATAGCAGCTAATACTGTGTTGAGTATAAACTGTACTTACACCCTATTCAGCCTGTCCAATAGGATCTTGTGTTGCAGAGCTCTCTGGGCCTGGGAGTCCACTGGTGGCAGGATGACTGGACGGTCCTGTGTGTTACAAAAAATCAAAGATGTTATACATCTCAACATTGTTGAAAAACACATTCATGACTGGACAATCCTGTATGAGTGAAACAGATTTCTATTCCAACATTGATAACAAGATGTTCTTTAATGCAAGTGCTGTACAGAACTTGTAATGAACAAGTATAAGCATACATCACTGGTCACTTCATGAATTCTAAAAGGCGATTGGAAATGAAACTAGTTAAGTTCAAAGTCAAATGTCAACCAAAACATGTTAATTTTGACACCACAACATCAAAGGAAATATACATCTTCAGCTGACATAAAATTAACTGAAGAACATGACAATGAAGATAAAAATTTCCAATATCTCCTCCAAAAGAATTTGGAAACCCAGCAACTTAAACTTAAAGACTCACATCGTCTTCCACCTTCTTCTCCTTGACCTCTAACTCCTGGTCCTGAGTGACCGGCATCTGTGTCCCTCCTCTGTAGAACTCCTGCACCCTCATGTGGAACAGTTCCGCATCACGCCGCAGGGTCACAAGGTCAGGCAGGGGTCGGGTCGCACGGGTCAGGTCACCAGGGTCAAGGTCAGGGCCTCCCTGGTACACATGGTCTTCTGGAGTAGATAAAGGTCAAAGTGTACAGTGGTTAGTGGTAGGCAGAGAGGTATTAAAGAAATACATGTATAGCAAGTATTGCCTGTATAGGGTCTGTTCTCAGTGTCTTTTCTTCCCTGTTTGTGTGCTAGCAAACAAAGAAGAAATATAACTTCAACAGCGCTCAAAATGCTGTAAAAAGATGGATGAAAACCAAGCTAAAGCCTACACAAATCAAGAGATTTTGTATCAGGCCCACCTTGTGATCCCTTTGGGTCTTTTCCCTGCAGGGATCCTAGCTGCACTTCCTCCTGATTCTGACAGGGGTCCTCGGGAATACATATAGACAGCGGCTGGGAGAAGTCTTTCTGATCCTCTTCAAACCTAACTTTCCTGGGCTTTTCAGCTGTGACAGCTGTCTTATCAGTCATCTGTTGAGGTGTGCCCTTGTTGCCATGGTTTTTGTCACCATGGTGACTGTTGCTATGGTGATTGTTGCCATGGCATTGCTGTGTTACCCCAGCAGCAGCCCTTAAATCCTCCTGAGTTGCGAACCTCAAGACTTCAGGAAGGTCCAAGTTGACCTCGACGTTGTCACCGTACAAAAACCTGAAGGTACCCTCTGTTCTCCACTCCATTAAAGATCTGTGGGAATAAAATGATAATGTCAGGGCATTTAGACTTTTCAGTTATTTTTCTACTAACTTTCAAAACATTTGGGTGGCATAGGAAAAACTGTTGCACATACATGTACATGTATGCAGAAATCAACACAAATAAAATCTTACAATGCGGTGCCACAATGAGATGATGTTTCAACATGTTTAACAGTAATAAGTGAAAACATTACAAACATTACAATCGGTACATTGCATTCTTACCTGAAGACAGCCTGTGCCACTGACACATGTGCAGATGCTCCATGTCTGGTGGGTACTACTGGCCCTGGGGCTGTCTGTAGCTCTACTTCTCTCCCCTCTCCTGAAGGCACTTTACCAACCTCAAAGTCTTCTTGTGCACTTGTTGTCTGTGTCTGAATTTGCTCCTCATGTCTTTTACTCCCAATTTGTGATTCATTCATTTTCTTTTCAACATTCAACAACATGTCCCCTTTTGCACTATCTCCACCTGATGGCATCTTTTCAATTGTCTCACTATCAACACTGCCATCCTGTTCTAATGCAGTGTCTAAGAGTGACAGTTTCGCAAACTCCACTTCTGCACCTTCACCAGAAATTTCCTTTTCTTGGTCTGTTTCTTTTGCTGTATGCTCCTGTTGAGGATCCTTTTCCAGGGTAGTTTGCTGTTTTTCTTCAGTTGAGTCCTTCTGTTTATCAGTTGTGGTACCTTGATGATGACCTTGACTGGAACATGACTCGTAGTTGACCTCGACTGACCTCTCCCTCTGAAGCAGCCTAACAGCTGCAGGTCTGCAGAAGAACAGTGGAATATTGTTGTTCTTTTTTTCTACTTCATTACTGTCATCATCATCATCATCTGGTCGTTAGCATCTCACAGATGTTGAGCATCTCATTTCCGTATAGTCTGATTTTCTGAAATTCCCCCAAAATTTAAAATACAGCGAAAATTTTAGTTAAGATTTTGGGTACCAAAGAAGTAAAGGAGCAGAAGGTAAGTAAAGACTGCTTACCGTTCCTTTTCCCTTGCCCAGACAGGAGATGTGAAGAGTTGGTTCTTGTAATACTGGGAGGCCTTGTAGCACCAGTTACTGCAGAAGTTCTGCAACATAGAACAAATATTCTAATAATTAAACAATAAAACGACTCCTTCCAAATGGTGGATTAGGACAACTTATAGATCCTGAATGCTGACAATTTTCGGGTTCATGTGTGTGAAGGTAAGAACATTTGTGTTAAACAGAAGATGTGGAACAAAACTTCTTACCTTTCTCTCTGTGATGTCATAGACTTTGTTGTGTTTGGTGTCGATGTGGTACTGCTGCTTGGGCTTGTCCTGTTTAAAACATACAATCACATTATGAGTATAAGGAGACTTTTCATATCATAATTTCATACCATTTTTATCAGGAAAAAATCCACAATTGTCTATTTAGATATTTGGTACTCCTACACTATTTACACCATTACTGAAAGGTTGTTCACAATGAAAAAAAGGTACAAACTCCATGTACATGTACAGACCTTGGGTAGTTTGTTGTTACAGACAGGGTACCCACACTGGCCGATAATGGCACGTTCCACCATCACATCTGTATAGTGGCTGGGCTCTATGTACTGGGCCTGGTCAGGAGATATCAGTTCACAGTTAATCATCATATACAGCATTGAAGTGTATTGTGTATGTCTCTAATGTTAGAAGAAGCAAAATTTGTACAGTTGACAATACTGCTTTTTTTTTGTTAATATGATAATGTTAAGAGATTATACTGTACATTTTTGTGTCTGTCTGTCTGTCTGTCTCTCTCTCTCTCTCTCTCTCTGTGTGTGTGTGTGTGTGTGTGTGTGTGTGTGTAATCTTAATTACTTTGAAACTTAAATTGAAACTTTATTCTTATATACTTTACTGATCAACTTGCTAACTTAAGATTAGATTTCAAAGGGGACCCCAACTTACACAATTGACAAAGAAGTCCATGTCTACAGGATTGTCCAGGAGTCTCTCCACTATCCTGAAGGCCTTCTCCTCACAGTCTACCCGCTTTCTTATGGCGGCTTCCAGCTCGGCTTTGCTGATAGTGATAAAGGAAACATTTATAGATTATGTAGAAATGAAGAACTCTACTCTACCAAGGACATTATACACTCTGTCTGTGTATAATGTCCTTGACTCTACTCTACTCTGTAGAAAAATAAGTCAAATAAAATAAAATAAAATAAAGTAACGCATTGCAATATAATGTGTACATTGGGTTCTTTCTTTTTCTCCTTATTAATCTATAGTATAATTTTATTTTACTTCTTTTCTTCCCTAAGTACCTTTGCTCCTTTTGTTGTTGAGATTTTTGCTCAGCTTGCCTTTCGCCGCTTGTCTGCTTCTTAGATATCGCTGGAAAGTGTAAAAAGAAGTATATTTAGTAAGCCCAAAGACATAACTACATCTTCACAAAAGAAAAGCGAACATAACGAAGTATATAATCTACTACAGACCATTTTCTTCCTCCATTGCTTGGAGAAAGTTCTTGAAAGTCTCTTCTTCCGCCATGCTTGCAGGTCAATGGTCATTGGGTGAGTACACTTCAATCAAAGGGGAGTTCTTGTCCAGTACTGTTTTTCTATAATACTAGTATTCACGGTCTTGCAGGAAAAATCAGGTATTTGATACAAAATATATAAGTTGTTACCTGGACATATTTCTCTGTTTTATAATTTAGAACAGTCAGTTTGCTATCTTTATGATATTGTTTTATTCTTTGCGCCCCCTTTTTGTATGGTTCATCCGAAGAGGTCACAAAAGGTCGTCCAAAATGGCGCGAAGTTTCCGAACATCTGTGCAGCACGTATAAACACACCTCTAGTCTGTACATTTTAAGTGTGTATACCTAACGACCATGTCGATCCCCATCAACACGAAAAGCCTGACCTGTGTGGAGTACCCAGGGAGGGTCAAAAACGTCGAGAAGATGTTAGAGACACTCGGGGGAGAGGAAAACGTCTCCAAGGTAACGTGCAGTATCAGTATATCATGATCAGAACTGTTAAAAACTGGAACTCTCTACCAGAAACCGTAAATTAGTTTAAAACCAAGTTAGATAACCACTGGGAGAGACGAAAGTACGCAGTATGAGTGAGGACCAGGACACAACAGGCTGACGAGAAGCCTTCTATCCTGAAGAGACAAGTATCAAGTGAAGTTTCTTTTCCAGTGCGGATCGATATGTGTTTTTTTGGGGGGGTTGGTTACATGTAGGTAGGTAGGAATGTGGTTTTATGTAAAAGTATATTGGCCAAACAGCTGTCAGAAGCTTGATGTACACGTTTTAACCATTGTGCAGCTCAAATCAGCCTGTAGGCCAGCCGCTTTTCATTGAGGTCATGGTCAGACAAACGAAATACAAGAGTAAAGATACAGTTTACATCATATAAAGATCAAATAAATCTATATAACGTTACGTATTTTACACATACACATATACATACATACATACAAAAGAGTTCTTTTTGGTCCTTTCTGATTCCTGTATATTTCTGTCCCCCCCCAGGCTGTGTCAGACTCTAGCCGGCGGCTTGACCTGCGGTTCCGTCCGGGTGACCCGTACTGCCGTCCCGTGTACGGGGACAGGTTCCCTACATCCAGTCTGCTGGTCAGGGTACGCAGGACCAGGAGGGTCAGGAAGGACAGGGCTAAAGGTAAAGGGTCAGGGGTCAGGGTGCACAGGAGGGTCAGGAAGGACAGGGCTAAAGTAAAGGGTCAGGGATCAGGAAGGACAGGACTAAAGGTAAAGGGTCAAGGTCAGGGTCATTGCATGCATGAGCCTTCAAATCAAGAGCACGGTGTGTGTGTATGTGTGTGTGTGTATGTGTGTGTATTCAGTTTTGCTCCAAAGGAGCTGGAATCCTTACAAGAAATGTACTTGTACAAAGAAATGTGTTGATCCCATACTTGTAATCTCGTACAATGTAGCAGAATTGCTCTCAATAGTATTGCTATTGAGATTGCTATTAAGTATGCTCACAAGTTCAATACTCAGGTGACTATAACATTGTGTTTCCCTGTAGGGTCCGAAGATGTCCCAGCCAGTTCCTCCACTGGAACCATGGAAACTCCAGCCCCTTCTACATCCAGCTCACAGGAGGAGAGAGTGACATACAACACAGAAGTGCTGGGGATAGTGGATACTACATACAGGTTCCAAGGTCTGTTGTGTTTAAGTTTACTTCATTTTTCTATGGAAGCCTGTCTGATGCAGTTCAAACCTGATGGAATACAATGAAATAACAAACCGGGCCAGAAACTTGGTTGGAGTGCAGACCCACAGGACAGAGATAGCTGGAGGCGTGGTGTCCAGAACAGCTGACTGCTGCCCACCCCTGGGACAGGGAAACCGACAGCAGTATAATCTAAACAGGGATACTAACTAACAAAAAAAAAACTAAAGAACATTTATGTCAAAGGCTACCATACATTGCCTAAGTATCATAATTGTGTTATTTTACTAACCCCGTAATATTTCTCCCCCCAGCCATGGCAGATTTCCAGTACCTCCCCCTGCACAGGACTCCAGACGGCAGGACAGTCCAGTTGTACGACCAGCTTCTGTTAGAGGGTCTGGAGGAACAGGGGTTCTATCAGAAGGATGTTCCCCTGTTTCTCCCCCCGGCTACCTTCTCCAGGATCGACACACCACAGAATTATCACTACAGGAAGGACCCTGCTCACAAGTTAGTGTTGTTTTGTTGTTGTAGTTTGTAATACCATTGCTTTTATTGTGTCAATGTCTACATGAGTGTGTGTGTGTGTGTGTGTGTGTGTATGTTTATGTGTGTGTGTGTGTTTGTGTGTGTGTGTGTATGTGTCCGTGTGTGTGTGATGTGTGTTTCCATGTGTCCATCTGTGTACTAGTAAAGAAATTCCTCATGTTTCACAGCAACAAAAATCCCCAGAAGTCCCTCTTATCTTCCTGTCTTTTTATAGCTACAAAACCCCCATGAAGACCCTCTCATCCCCATGTCTTTCCACAGTTACAAAAACCCCATGAAGGCCCTCTCGTCCAGTAACCTGATCGGGGTAGCCCGGGCACGCAGGCCTCACAACGCGATCTTCTTCAACTTCGAGGAGCTGCAGGTCCCAACCAAACCACTAGATGCCGCTGTTGACCATGTGGATAGATACAATCTTCATAGTGAACTGGCAGAGATAAAAAAGGTACCAATACTTTTGGCATTTAAGATGTACAAGGTACTAAAATTCATCAAATTTATACATGTAGATAACATTCATGATTCGTTAAGGCATCTTAAGTGGATTAAATGACTTTTGAAACTTAGCAGTATGCTACATACACATTTGGTGCTATTCACATAGATGTAAATTAGATGTTGCATCAGGAATCAAATAAAAGGTCTGTATTTTGGGTTTTCTATTGGACTGTAATCTATTTTTTAACACTATACATTGTATTAGACGACCTTAATTGGGCTCTAGCATAGTACAAAATGTATCTAACAGTTCTCTTACTATAACAGTGCATTTATCCTTGTATTTATCCCGTGTCCAGTTGTTCCAGGAGCGCTGGATCTGGTCGCGGAACGCGCTGCAGGTTCGGACCAACATCCCGCTGCTGCGTCTGAAGTTCCTCCTGCCGATCTGTGCGTACTACGTCGCCACCGGACCCTGGAGGTCACTCTGGGTCAAGTTCGGCTACGACCCGCGCAAGGACCCAACCGCCAAGCAGTACCAACTACTGGACTTCAGGATCAGACAGAGTAGGCATTTTATTTCAACTATTCACGATATTTGTGTAGGGAATAGTTATGTAAAGATATTATTATATGCTTTATACAGCATATTCTTGACATTTGAGTGTCAGAAAAGTATACAGCATATTCTTGACTTTTTAGTGTCCGAAAAGTAGTAAAACTTTGTAAAAGTTTGTTGTATAAGTAGTTACAAACTTTGAAATCTAAGATTCAAGCTCTGAAGAGAAGCAACAATGTCTGAAAGTTGGCTTTGCCAACACAAATTATTTCATGTTGGCCACCCAAGATTTTTAGGTTACATGCAATCGTGCACCTATTCTCAAAATTGAATTTGAAGCCCTGTCAATAGTCCCTGACATTATAACCTGTTCCCTGTAGGACCTGATGCAGAACAGTTGGCTGTGAAAGCCAAACGGAGCTGTTTTAACTACACACTGCCCACTATGATGCACAAGCCGCTGCCACAGGTTAGGTTCACAGGCAGATTTCAGCCATGTTTTTTTCATACCAGTAGTTTTTGCTGGTCACTACATACACTGCTTATATAGATTTCCAATGTACTTCTGTGCCACACAATTCTTTTGAAGTCTAATTTAAACACAATACCTCCTTTATGCAAAAAGAAAAGGTGCCATTCCCTCATACAACAAATTAAACCTCTACATATGTAGATATAATACATCTGTACTATCCAGTGGTGCAAATTTTTTTTTTCTTTTCAATAAGGGTTAGGCGGTAGCCTTCGTGATACTTACTTATAACCTCTTTAGTTGTTTGCAAACTGATGTACACAGTGATGTTGATTTTCAGGTTGTTCAGATCAAAGACAGTTCTGGTGCAGGATCGAGTGGAGAGGGGGAGGCACAAGATGCTAAAACTAAAGAGGACATTGAGAAGGTAACATGGCCTCCTGATTTTGCTTCCTAACTGCCAAAGATTGCTTTCTTTAAGGAAATAGATAAAGGAGACTTTTTGAGGCTGTGGGGGTAGTGGGTTGTTAATCCACTGTGTCTAGGGCATGGTATTGGAAAGCAGAGACCATCCCTCTCCTTCTGTTTTATCTTTACCTACATTGTAGTACTTACACATCATGCAACACAGTTATTGCACTGTCATGCAAAATCCCAGCACATCAAATCTTTAGTGAACTGTTTAAAACTTTTCAAAATATGACTTTTTCTTCAGGAGGCGACTATATATTCCGACCCGGGATGTTACCGACATATCAGCTGATGTTCTACCAATCAAACAATTGAACAAATATACATGTAAACGATTATTAGTTACCTATGGTCATATCTATGGCCATAGTGTTGCGACCAAACTAGTATCATGGTCAGTATCATGGTCAGATCTTAACTGTTGAATTTATGGATATTTCAGGAGGCGACATACATATTCCGCCCCGGGATGTTACCCGCATACCGGCAGATGTTCTACCAGCTGTGTGACCTCCACGACCCCCGTCTGCAGGCGATAATACACGAGAACGACGGCGGGGAGACAGACTGTACGGAGAAGGACGGCTGGTGTCTGCCCAACACGCACGCCAAGCTGCGGGATATCATCTCTGCTGAGGTCTCCAAAATGTCAACAATCATAAAGAGAGGTTTGTTTGTTTGTTTGTTTGTTATTGATGTGTACAATAAAGGACAGCAGCTAGTGCTTTCTAGGCACAAAGTTTGAGTTTGCATCAAGATCATTGTTTCTATATTAATTTCTCATTTTACCATCTTTGAAAGTAGAAATATACAAAAGAGTGTTTGTACAAGCCTCTACCAGGCTCCAGAAGCAGGTAACATGCCAGGGGAGTTCCCCCTCCCAAAACTGTCCTCCTTTAGTGGACCAACTCCCCCGGCATGTTATCTGCCTATTTGGTCAATTTCTGCTCTTTCCAGCAGCCTATTTGGCCAATTGATTCTATCAAATCAAAGAGTCCATAATTCATTGGACCTGTAGCAAGTTTTTAACAAAGCCTCATCCTCCCTCATCATACTTTGTTCCTCCAGATAAGAAGTCGCAAGGAGGGAGATCAGGAACTGGTCCTGATGTGAGAGAGGAGGAGGAGGAAGATGAAGATCATGATGATGACATGTCAGACTCAGAGGTGGATCCTGACCAGCAAGTCGCACAGGACAGCGACAATGAGATGGAAACAGAGATGCTCGAGTTCTTATAAAGTTTTATTTTTTTTTTTAATTCTACTCAAAAAACTAGCTCTAAATTATAGAAATCTCCAAACAGATATTTTGATTTTCTTCTTCACCACATGAATTCATGGTACCCATCCATACATCGATTGTTACCTGCTTCCAGAAGAGAAGAAGAGAAAAAGAAAGAAAGGAAAAAAATCTTGCTCTTTTGTACCAATTAAAAGTTATCTATCATTATGATTAACATTTGCAAGAGAAGAAAATAATTCTTGCTCCAATTTTGTTGTACAGGTACCAATGTTCAGTGATGACAATGGTTAATAAATCACTCCAGATGAAGAGGTAACTGAGTTTACTAGCATGTGAGTGGTGCATAAAATCGCATGATATATCATAGTACATAATTGTAAAAGCACATTGCTGTAAAATCCACAGTTCAGAAGAGTGATTGTTTCTTTCACATCAGAGTGTGTTTCAAAAAAGTCATCCAAGAACTCCAGTTTGCATCACTTGCTTCTATACCATAATTGCCTAGTCTCCATCAGACTCCTTTGCAGGCTGAATAAATAGTAGAAATCAGCCTAAAAAGAATGTAGCTGACCAGGGGAGTTGGCCGGCCGAAGAGAGTCCAGTTGCAAACTGGTCAGCTACATTTTTTTAGGCTGATTTCTACTATTTATTCACCCTGCAAAAGAGTCGGATGGAGACTAGGCAATTGGCAGTGTTTCTATGTCTAAGTTCTTGATCTGTGTCCCATTGTTTGGAGACCAATGTTTTATTTGGCTCCTCATTATTTATTTACACACACCACCTGTAGCAACGGACATCAACAGGTTTACTGTGGTCCGTAAGGTCCCATGGGGGCCATTTGCACTGGTAGCAAGGTTGCCTTGTGCTTAGGGTCGTAGAGTTGCATTCTGAAGGTTCTGTGTTTGAATTGTTGTCAATGTGTCCTTGGGAAAGACACTTCAGATTTATGAAAATGAAAATGAGTACCTAGCTTCAGTTAGGGACATCCTCTTGGATGCACCTAAGCCAGCGGTCCGTGTTTGGGGAGAGCCACACCTCGAGCACGTTTAAGAACCCACTGCACTTATCGAGAAGAGAAGGGGTCCTTCCCAGTGTGAGTGGTTCAAACCTTACAGCCCAGTACTTACTGTACAAGACTGGTGTCGAGCCTGACGGCGGTTTACCGGTTATACGAAACATGCAAGGAAAATCAAACACTTGGAAACCATTGAGCCACCAAATAATCAGATGTAAAAAATCATTTCAAACCTTCATGATCTTTGAAAGATCATCTATAGACGACCTTGTAGATCCACGAAAGACCTCTGCATCATTGAAATGTCACTCTCACTCTCAGTGTTTAAAATAGCACACACTTAAACAAATGTTAACATTGCTTCCAGCTTTACCCTGTCTTTGTCTCAGCTTTGTTTTGTTTAGTTTTCTCATGTCTCACGGTTAAACATTGTCATCATGCAGTAGTGTGACATCTGTGCCTTACAGAGCGACATCTGTGTGTCTGTCCCGCACACGTGAGCGCTGGGCCTCGGTGCCGGGATGATGGCGGTTTAACCACCCCGGACACGTGCCGCATCGTTCCGGTCCGCTGGGCTCAAACCCCCGCTACAGAAATTAATTCATCGGCTTGTCAGGCAATCATGATAATGATGCTATCATGGCCCGGAGGTATACGGTAGTAGCCTCTAACAGGTTTCAGAAGCGGACGAAAGAGTAGATGGTCTGGCTGCCAAGCTAGCAGGGAAGGCGGACCACGAGATAAGTCTAGCCTCTACCAGGCTAGAAAGAGTAGAATTTGGCCATATAGAGAGAGATGACATGCCGGGGGATTTGGTCCGCTAGAGAGTATAGTTTTCCGCATTCGTGCGGCAAAATGTACACATGTACTCTCTAGCGGACCAACTCCGAAGAAATGTTATCTTTCTCTATTTGGCAAATTTCTACTCTTTCCAGCCGCCTCCCGAAGCCTGGTAGAGGCTAGGCCAGGTCCGCAGGGGATTTTCGGCTATTCCGGAGGATTGGCGGGCGGTGTTAAGGACGCTGATGCCCGGAGGGGATTGTTAAGCGGGCCGGTAATGAGACCTGTGGTGTCACGCGAGCAACCCTCTCTCACGGGATTTCCCATGGGTCACGTCATTAAAGTCATATGTCCCTGTCATACATGGATGTCCCTGTCTTATGTCCCTGTCATGTCTTCCTGTCATATGTCCCTGTCATATGGCTCTGTCATGTACGAGTCCTGTCTAGTCATTACAGTCATATGTCACTTATTGTCGCCTTGGACTTGGCAGCTTTCAAGCAGATGTTACTTGTAAAAGGGCAATTATGATATTTTCTGGCTTCTCCATTGTTTTTGACAAAACAGAAAACGTTATGATCTTCCCCACTAACATTATTTCTGACGACTTATGTTGTGATGCTTACGACATAGGGGAAGGCCCTATGGGTTGTCCTGTACGTATATTGTAACAACTGACGTTTTTCTACGCTTCCTTCCTGTTAATTAAAAAAAAATATATCTTAATTTAAGAAATGTAAAACTTGTTTCTGTTCTTGTCATAGAAAAACAAATGATGGTTGTAAAAGCCATCACAATATATTAAAGTGCCACGAGTCTGTTGGTTTCTCCGATTGGTCGCAATCAACTGTATCTGTCGAGCTCGCTTCTTTTGAGACAACAGTAGGTAGAAGAATTCGGAGTAAAAACCCGTGGCGAAGTTCACACAAACACAGGGACAGCTGTACTAGGAAAGCGCTGCAACATCACCAGACCTTCACCTCAGCTACACAAAAGACGACAAGAAAATTACAAAAACGTTATGGGCAGCAAACGGCCACAATCCTCTGTATATATAACATGTTCAAAATATTTTACCGACTATTGACAAAACAAACTGCAAGCGTGCGCATTGGGACAACCCGTGTACTGTTCTATTGACACCAACAGTTTTACATCAAGAGTACACGTGGTTCACTGAGGTCACACTGAAGCTGTAAACATTGTCAAAGCGAACATTAAGACCTCGACACTTCAAGTACAAGCCTTAAGACGATACGAGGGTTGATATTCGCGAAAAGAGCGACTCAATGGTAGTTTATGAGTTAGACAAAGACATGTACGCGTACGTAAGTATTTGGCGAATGTTCCATATCAATTGTCGTCATGCTTGTCAATGGATCATGTTTTCATATCCATTGTGTACAATTATGAAAGCAACGGTACGCTTAGACATATGCATACTTTCTACTAAATACATACCGCCTATATCTACCTATACTGAAGTATAATCAAGTGCTAAGGGGGTATATCTTAAAGTACACCAAGGAAAGTGAAGAAGTCAAACCTATGTACAATGTATATGTGTTAGAGTAGTTTTAGGCCCCTTGTCATAGATTTGCATTTGAAGTCCTCTATCTTGATTTATGTAGTATATTATGTACATTACTGCTTCTGTATTCGCATTTATATGCCGGTACTTATGCCGAAGGCACAGCGGATGTACAATAAGGGCTATCTATCTTCAACTTAAGATGTTTGTAGTGCCATTGTACCAGAACATACGCTATGTCCAGTCATGTACGTCGTCCTGCCCTGCTCAAGGTCGCAGTACTCATACATGGTCACGGTGTTTAACGGCCAGCTGTAGGCAAGACCGGAAATAAACATGTAAACTTTACACGTACCGCTCCACTGGTACAAAGGGTCTTCTTCAGAACAAAAATGTAGAAGCCACTGAGAGCGTAGATACAGTTAAGATTCGATTTCGGTCTACTCTAGCCTCCACCAGGCCTTCCTATGGGGATACGGATCCTAGAATTTGGTAAAAAAAAGGGAGGGATGGGCTAAATTTTACTTTTAAAAAAACGCGTTGTTAGTTTGGGGCAGACTCGGTCTACTCTATGTTCACTATACTATGTATGAAAGACATATATATGTAACAATAAAACAAAAGCAGGAAACATGAAATGATTAATTGGGTATTTGAACTGCCCGTACCGCAAGAACATAGAAATCCCTTGTAAGAGTTTGCATTTAGCTATAGCCGCTTGCTCAAACACTAAGATTCAATTTTGACTCAACAAAAAGTACAGGGACTTTTGTGGTTTCCTACCCGGAAAAGCAGGTTGACAGTTTATTTGTTTAACAGAAGTGGATACTACAAGTCAACAACCTGTTTTCGGGTAAACCTATAATTAAGACAACAAAGAACACAATAGACTACTGTAGAATGTATCTTAGTTCTGTTGACAATTTGTTTTGAAACCAAGGACAACATTGATAACCAGCCTTGATTCACATATGCATGGCACTAATATGGCTAGAGCACAAGAAAATAACATAGAGAGAACACACGTATGAAAGACGAAGGTAACGTTCTATGAACACTACAATAGGTTTTCCACGGTGTACAAAGAGCTAGGAAGTCTTTTGTCTATGATAGAGTTGTCATGTTTGATCGGACACTACCCAGCCGTGAACTCTGCCGGCTTTGCCAGTCTCGGTTTTGTAGCCTGCGGTAGGAAGATTAAATCTAACAGGTTTAACCGGTAGGACCGTCGTTGTTTAAGGATAAATCCCCACCTGGGGGCGACGTCATTTACAGTATTACCACGTATCCTCATGTGAACTCTGTCTGAGAGGGAGGGAGCGTTTTAAAAGAAATAAAACTTGTGGGGTCGTGTGGCGTATAAGTGGTAGAGTGTTCGGCGAGGAACCAAGAGGTCCCGGGTTCGAACCCTGTCATGTCACCAATCTTGTGCCCTTGGGAAGGCAGTTAACACGGCTTTCCTCACTTCGCTCAGGTGGAAATGAGTACCGTATTGTCCTCTGTGTTGGTGGCGGCATTACAATAAGTTAAAAAAAACGTGAGTGTGCCGCCAGCACGTCTTGTGATTACATATGTTGGAATGAAAATAAAAATAAACATGATCTGAAAAAGTAGATTATATCTTCGATATATATAATACGTCTTATCGTGTAGAAATCCCAGTTATTTATACCAGTATACATATATAATTTTAATGATTAGCATTTGGGTAGCCCTTGTTATCAGTTAGACCTTTTCATTCACAACCATTTATATATCTTTTAATTTAGTATGTCTCTTTTTATGTGTCACATTCTTTTCCTGATACCGGCTCCCCTCAGAATGTTATTTCTATAAAATTAAATAAATAAAATAAAAAAAAGAAAAATATGATAGTGTAAAAGGCGTGCCAACAGGATGATATAGTCATAGAACTTGCCTGGGGGGATAGAAGGGCAGTTAAACAGTAACAGCCTAGACTATAATCCCACAATTATCACCACATGTTGCCCTCAT